CAACGTATCTTCTTACTACTAGCACCAAACGCAAAACCCTATAGGAAACAAAAGAATCCAATTTCCAAATATGTCACATGTGAATATCTTCCTGCCTTTGTTAATTTCTCCTAAGTTATTTTCTCTAGCTTGTTTTTATAATTCTATAGATAACTAAGACATTTTCATGTTTTATACTGTTATTTTTATAATTCCCTTGGAAGGTTGGAGCTATCTAAGGGCAGGAATAATAACAATCATTTTCCCATTTCCATACCTAATGCAATGTTCAACATACACAATGTCCAATATACAATGGTTAAATTTCTAGAGTAGAAGAGTATAATGACCTTCTGGATCTAGAAGCTTCCAGGCCAGTCTCATTGCCTGCATAACTGAAGTTCTCAGCCTTAGCTGGTCTTAAGCCCATTTGCCCTCAGATTCATTCCTGGACTTTTCTGTTAATCAATTCCGTTTAACAAAGGGGATAATCCTACATGGTTTCATGTTGGTATCTAACAACCAGATCTTTCTTTCCAGGCCTGTTTTCAACTTCAGTGATGTGGCCATGGCTCCCGGGCCCCAGAAACACTTCCTAGAGAAGATGGAAAGCTCCATGTTCTTACTAATCTTGTTTGTTGATTCCCTATCTTCTTATTTTCTCAGCATTTCCCATCACATTTATAATCAATTCCAAGAATTTACCTACTTTGTTTAAAATACTGAGTAGTTCTTACCTTCCTGAGGTACCTGATAGTGTGTCATTGTTTTTTTATGACAAGAGCATTTATGACAAGTGTTTTTGTTTGGGACCCTGAGAGGCAATCTTTACCTCCAACTCCTTCCAATACCAGTTGATAACAGATGACTCCAACTACCCACATGAAAGTAGTTATTTGCACAGGTCATGCATTTCAAAATGAATTAATGGCTGGCTTTATCTGATCTCATTTTAAGAGCTCACTAAGGTACAGACTCACAAAGTTTATGCAACTCTCCATCCAGAAGCACAGCTAAGATAAACTGACTAACTCTTCATTCAGGGGACACTACTGAAAACAAACTCATTGATACAAGGAGGTTTCTTGGACCCACTTTATTCTACTAAGTGATGTGCTCTTATGGGAATGGGGAAGCAAAGAAACATTAGATTTTCCATTGAGAAAAAATTTCAAAGCCTATGACAAGGTAGTAGGTTCCTCATGGTTACATTTCTTCTCCAAGAAGACAAATGTGTGTATGTGTGTGAGAATTGAAGTCATGATACAGAGTTTGCAAATGCTCTACCATGACCATGTCTCAGGTCTTTTGCTTTTTGTTTTACAAATAGAATCTGGTGCTCCCTGCCTGGGCTGGCCTGGAACTTTGGTCTTCTTGTCTCTGCTTCTTACATAGCTAGGATTCCAGGCATGTACCATCATACTAAGGATCAGAGCCTGGTGGCTTGTTGTTGAAAGAAGCTAGGTTGCTTAAAACAATATTGCTAAGTCTAGGGAAGGGGAAGGAAAAAAAATTAGAATCATCATATAAGTGAGAAAGGAGTAAAGACATGTGTAAAAAACATACAGGCCAGTGTGAAGTACTTCTGTTAGCCACATCAGGAAAAAGAAATAAGCATCGGAATAAGTAACTATTCTAACAATAGATTATATAGTTAAGATTAGGTAAAGTTAGAAATTTCTAAATCCATGCTGGAAAATAAATGTTAAATTGGATTGCATAAAGAATAAGATATTTAAATAGTCTTAAAAGAACCCACCTACACACAAAGATTTGCTAATTTCTTAAGATCAAAATCACTTTAAAATGAAGAAGCTGGGTGATAAACACTGGTAATCTCAGCTCTAGGAGGATCGTCAGTTCAAGACCAGCCTGCTAGGTAGTAAGTTCAAGGATAGCCAGAGTAACATACAGGGACAAATTATTTATAAAACAAATCTAACTTGGCTTCCCAAAGACATATCTTGAAGGGTCCCGGCCACTATTTGGCCACACCCCTGCCAGCAAAGCATAACAAATCTAATTACAAGATTAGGTGAGGGTGATTCTAGGAAACAACTCACCTAGAATTTTGAAGCTATCAGAAGCATAAAACCTAAGAAAAGCCTGAAGAACAATTCCCAGTGAAACATGGTAACTAAGTGGACAAATCATTCTTTAAAGGCTCGGTGGATACTAGCAGTGTAATATTCACCTCAGGGTCACTTTAGTTTTAATATGGTCATAAAGGACAAGGTGTTGTCCTCCCTGTAGGAAACAGGCAGATACTAGAATGGATGTGGTGTTAAGGAATCAAGATTGCAACCTGCTTTACAATAATCCAGAAGGGAACTGAATGTGCTGTGTTTACAATGTTTCTGTGAGTTTAAGATTATTACTATTATTGTGTGTGCTAGTGACTAGGGACTTGAACTCAGAGCCTGGGTGCTGTCCCTAGGCTTTTTTGCTCAGTGTTAACACTCTAGCACAGCTCCACTTCTGGTATTTTTGGTGGTTAATTGTAGATAAGAATCTCACAGAGCCAGGCGCTGGTGGCTCACGCCTGTAATCCTAGCTACTCAGGAGGCTGAGATCTGAGGATCGCGGTTCAAAGCCAGCCCGGGCAGGAGAGACCATGAGACTCCTATCTCCAATATACCACCAGAAAACCGGAAGTGGCGCTGTAGCTCAAGTGGTAGAGCACTCGCCTTGAGCTGAAGAGCTGAGGGACAGAGCCCAGGCCCAGAGTTCAAGCCCCACGACCGACAAAAAAAAAAAAAGAATCTCACAGACTTTCCTGCCTAGGCTGACTTTGAATCAGGATTCCTCAGATCTCAGCCTCTTGAGTATCTAGGATTACAAGTTTGTGCCACTAGCACCCAGATATTTTGTTTTTAAGATAGAGTAAAGCAGAACAAAAAGAAAATGACTAAGAAACATAAGATACGAAAATGAATTTGTTATAATAAAATATCCTAGTACAACTAACTGATGTCAAATAAATAAACAGTGAAAAACTAGGCATCAGGGGCTTACTCCTATAATTCTAACTATTCAAGAGGCTGAGATTTGAAGGATCATGACTCAAGGCCAGCCTGGGCAGAAAGTCCATGAGACTCTGTCTCCAAAACAACTAGCAAAAAACATGGCTGAAGTTATGAAACAAGTAGTAAGATTACCAGCAAGGAAGCCAAGTAAACATGAGGCTCTGGGTTCAAACTCCAGTAATACTCCCAACACAAAAAGTGTGAAGATATGGTCTAATACCAGGATTGCATAAAAACAGCCCTAATATAACTGAAAGCTTTCCTCATTTGCTTATTGTGGTTGAATACAATTTAGATAATAATAAAAAGTTTGTTACAAACATAAACCCAGTATACATTGTGGGAAACAAACATATCTACATCTAGTACTTACAACTCTAATTTAAAAAAAAATAGAAGAGTATACAAAGATCCTTTCTAAAGACCCTTCACCTCTGAATACACAATCATTAGGGAACTCAGGTCCAGGTAGACTTTGTTAGTCCTAAGGCACAGAGTATACTCAACCTCTGCAGCAGGAGCTGGAAGTGTTCTTTGGAGAGATTGGAGCTCATCCCTCCCACACAGATGTCTTTTCTTGATGATGATGCTTCCAAACATTGTCTTAACACTAAAGAAATATCTCTCCATTCACCAATATTTTCAGACCATTAGAAATGTGGTTATAAAAATTATGTTTCATACATTTTCCTTTACGAAAAAAAATTTAAAGAGATAATATATTTTATTATTTGTTAGATTTCCACCAAATCATTAGATTCAAATTAGGTTTCATACATATTCCTTTAAGAAAAAGTATTCTGGAGCTGGGAAGGTGGCTCAGTGGTAGAGCGCTTGCCTTGCATGCATGAGGCCCTGGGTTCGATTCCTCAGCACCACATAAGCAAAAAGAAAAAAGCCGGAAGTAGCGCTGTGGCTCAAGTGGTAGAGCGCTAGCCTTGAGCTGAAGAGCTGAGGGACAGCGCCCAGGCCCAGAGTTCAGGCCCCAAGACCGGACCCAAAAAAAAAATCTCTCTTAAGAGATCACGGAAGATGTGTTGAAGAAATATGAAATCTGCCGTGATAAGGGGTGAGTATTTAGGTAGTAGTGGGGTTTTGAACGCATGTCCTTTCATTCACTTGCAGGCTATGGTCCCAACTCTTTTTTCCACTTTTGTTATTTTTCAGGTACAGTCTTACGCATTTACCCAGGGCCTGCCTCAGACTAAAATGCTCCTACCTATAGGCTCTTGTGTGACTGGAACCATGACTCCCCGCTTATTTCTTAGGATGGGGGCTTTTAATAACTTTTTGCCAGGGTTGCCTCCAACGATGATCCTCCAGATCTCTGTCTCCTGAGATGACAGGCAGCTAAGCCGTTCAATCAGTTAGGACAAAGGGTTTATGTACAAGAGTGTATTTATAGGAGACTCAAGTAATTTTTTTTATTTTCACCAATGGATGAAAAGTTGACCCATACAGGATTGCTCCCTGATTTGTTGTCAAAACACAGGGCAAAAGAAGGCCATCATTCATCACAATCATGAGCAGCTTTGTTTAGTCCGTAATGTGTAGTCTGTTAGTTAATGCAATAATTTGGTATTATCCAGTACATTATTAGACAGCTCATCATCAACACTACCAAGTGAATGTGATGTATGGTACAAGTTGTTAATACACAAAGCAACTCTACTCCACATCGCGATAACTCTCCTATTCTGAATCGCATCCAAATTATCTCATGACAATAAGCAGTATAATTGTAGAAGAAATCCACTTTAAAAGGAAATGCCTACTTCTGATAAATTTGAACAAGTCTCACAACATGAAAAAGAAACCAGTTCTTTAGCAAAAGTTATCCCAATCTGGAAATTATATCAAATCATTCTGGAAATGAAGTTAAGCTTTGCAGCAAACATTGTGGAGAGGTGAGGTGGAGTGAGTCTGTCCAGGTAGAGATTTTAGTCCACCCTGGGGCTCCTAAATTCAGCTACATGTTGATGAAGGCTGAGGCAGATGTATTGTTTTAATAAACTTCAAATACTGTTGAACACCTGCATGTCCATGGGGGCAAATCTGGGACAGATGAACTAGTTTGGTTTACTTAAAAGACATCTGATTTGCCTTGTGATGCAAAGAGTAAAGTGGCATCCATCATTACAAACCTAGGAAAGAAGAGTTAATAGGGCTTTTTGTGTTGTGTTTTGTTTGCTGCCTTTCCACAGCCATTTCTGCAGCAACCCGCTGGCACCCACAGTCAATGGAAAGAGGCTCTCACTCTGCGGCCCTTCAGGGGCTGTGGTGGACGGTGATTGCTCAACAGAAAGGCGGCTGCTTCACCCTCCCTGCTGCACTGAAGGCTTCGGAATTTGGCCAGCTGTCAAAGAAAAGAGCAGCGTTCATTTCAGCAAAGAAAGTCACCTCCATGCTAATGGATTGCGTAGAAACTCGTAGAACCATTCTCCTACCAGAAACCAAAACAGGGCAGTGTCATCTTTCCTCAGTTATGGTTTATACACCTTACAGGGTTAAATGCCTGTTAAATTCCCTTCGGTATGCAACTTTCTAGGGCTCCAAAATTCAGTATCAAAGCTTTCTTGCTTTGAAGATCAAAGTTACACAGAGGGAACAACGTTTAGGATGTGGTCATCCTACAAATCAGAGATTGGTTTCCAATACACACAATACATACCAGTCAGTTCTTCTGAAAGTTGAGCGTGGCTCCCCATCTCTACCTCATCTGTTTAGAACTGGATCTGACGTGGGTTCTTTCTTTGAACACCTTGCTTGTTTGGGGTAAGATTCCCTAAATCTGTCCGATCAAACCTTCCCTTCTCTATGACCTTCCCCATCAATTGACTCAGCTAGGTAAGCCCTATTTATACCAGCTCTGAAATTTGACCAAGGTTCAGATTTCTTTCTTTTGGTTCCTTGTCCTGGATTGGCTGACTCTGACCCATCTTACCCTTCCTGAAGACACTGGCTCCTTCTGGCAGAAAACTACCCCTCTGTCATCATAGCTGACTCAGCATCTTCAAATTCCTGGGAGCTTCCAGGAGGAGGAAGGTGTGACCCGCAGGGCTGCTTTCCTTGGCTTGAATACTGAAATGCTAACTTCCTTGTGTGGCAACTCCACTAAAAATGAGAGGTTCCTTAGGAGAGGAACAGAAAGGCACAATGCTGTGTGCACCTGATCATACAAAATAATATTTGTCAAAATGAACTCCAGGAAATGTAAACAAGAGGTTCTCTTTTTTGCTGTTTTTGTGTTCTTTCCTTTTTCTTCTGTATGTTCAGTTATGTGTCTTTGGGAGTATAAGGGGAGGCACAGAAATGGAGGGACAAAAGGTGAACCAAATGCAGCAGTGGTACTCACTAGACATTATATGGAAAATGAACTATATAACTTGTGGGAGGGCTGGAAGGGCCAAAAAGAAAGGTACTCATTACCTGACCCATGTAACTGTAACCCTTGTGGACATTACCTTTATGATAACAATAAAAAAGTAAAGCAGGGCACTGATGGCACATGTACACCTGTAATCTTAGCTACTCAGGAGGCTGAGATCCGATCATCTCCGTTCAAAGCCAGCCTGGGAAGGAAAGTCCATGAGACAGACTCTGATCTCCAATAACCACGAGAAAACTGGAAGTGGTGCTGTGACTCAAAGTGGTAGAGTGCTAGCTCTGAATGAAAGAGCTCAAGTAGGGACTGGGAAGGTGGCTCAGTGGTAGAGCAATTGCATTGCATGCCTGAGGCCCTGGGTTCCTTTCCTCAGCACCACATAAGCAAAAAGAAAAAGCCGGAAGTGGTGCTGTGGCTCAAGTGGTAGAGCGGTAGCCTTGAGCTGAAGAGCTGAGGGACAGTACCTAGGCCCAGAGTTCAGGCCCCACGACTGAACCCCCCCCCAAAAAAAAAGAAAGAGCTCAAGGACAATACCCTGGACCTGAGTTCAAGCCCCATGACTGACAAAAAAAATTTTTTTTTAATTTAAAAGGAAATATTCTTCTCAAAAGTTTCTGCAAACAGTCTTATGTCATACTTGTGCTCAGCCATCTTTAGCAGCACTCCATTGCCTACCCAAGTTGAGGAATGATAAATATAAGCTCTCTTCCACAACACAGGGGCTCAGGCATTGTGCTAAATGATATATATTATATTATTTAATTCTCCGAAGAATCCTACCAGTCATATGCTATTTTCCCACTTTACAGATGAGGGATAGCTGGGAAGCTTCAATAAATAAGTTGTTCCACAAATATACCATGAACTAACTACAGATGCATATTACATTCCTACTTTTCTTTTGTTCCATTTTACTCTATTCTCCTTTTATTCACTTGTTATTATGGAAACATTCCAACACACCCAAATTTGAAAAAGCTGTATAATAAGCCAGTATGAAGGCTGCACCCAGCTCCAATATCAGCACACGCCCAGATCTGCTATCCATAGTTCCTCCCACCCATTCTGTCCTCACCTTTTACCCTGCCCAGACCAGATTACTTTGAAACACAGTCTGAACACCATGTCATTGCAGTGTAAGCATTTCAAAATATATCTCTTAATAGGCTACCTAAACAAACTTGTCATCATGGACACAACCCTGCTCCTATTCACCTTCCTACATCTTCCTGTCATTTTCACACGAAATCCCACAGTGAGCCTGTTTGGTGAAAGGTAATCTCAGAGCATCTGAATGGAAAAACTGGGACGATTCTTAAAATCTAAATTACTGGATCTCACTCCAGACATCTGAATGAGTTTTTCTAATGAGGCCCAACATTCCACATTTTGATACATTTCTCTTAAGTGGATCTGGGACACACTAAAATTTGAGATTCACAGGTACAGTGCTGCCAAAATCATTTCAGTTCTTCCTTTCTCATCCTTATTTATGCTATTTCTTCTTGAAATCCTCACCTTTACTTAGCTATATGCAAACAATTGCTCCCTTTTAACCACTTACCTCTCCCTACGGACTGAAGCCATAGCTTATGTACACTAGGCAAGCACTCTACCACAGAGCTACATCCCCAATCCTTTTCACCTTTAAACTCCAGTGCAAATCTTTCATAAAATCTTTCTAGATTTCTCCGTTGAAAATTAGTCTCTAATCATCTGCAGTCCCACCACCCTACCTGTTTCTCCTATGGCACCAAACACAGTCTACAGTGTTACTTTTCATGCTTTTTTTTTTTTTAATCTCCTTTACTTCAAACTCTTTGGATTGGGCTACATTTTTATGGTATTTCTCTTGCACTTGCAAATTATTAGTAGTAAACACATAGTAAACAATGCTACTATTAGACTCATATACAATAGGATACATAATCTACAATTTAGAATTTTAATTTCAAAGTAATGATGTGGACTTTTATAAAAATCAAAATTAATATTGAAGGGAGTAAATTCTAACAACAGAGGCAAAGAAAAATATCCTTAGATCATTTAATGTGAATTACAACACACATTTTACTATTAAAAAGGGCATTCAGTTTGCTCCCAGGTATGTTGTTCTGAGATCCTGCAGACAGTCTCTCTGTAGAAAACAACTACACAAACAAGCAACAACAATTATATGAAACAAGAACCTCTTTCAGGTACTGGAAGTAAGCAGAATCAGAACCCAGGTGAGAAGTTCATGCTTGCTTGACCAAAGAAAAATGAAAGCTTTAGAAATGAATTCTTGTAACCCTTCTGAACATCACCTTTATAATAGTAATAAAAATTAAAGTAAAAAGCAAGTGTTTTCTTCCTTCTCCAGAGTTTAGTCTGGCAGTGAGTACCGTGGTATGCAACGTGACACAAGGCTGCCAAGGGCACCCGTCTGCTGCAGGAAAAGAGCTAAAGAGAGGCTCCTCAGACTCTATCCACATCTCTGACGGACCCAGTGATCACACAGGCAGAGAACAGACAGCAACAAGACCAGCCGAATGAGGCCACAACTATAACACACGACAGAATTTTTGCTTCTAGCCCACTCAGGAAAATCACCCACTAAAACAAAAAGAACTATACTTATTAGACAAAAGTAACAAAATCCATAGTCTCTAAATCCCAAAGGTTCATAGGTTAAAGGCCTGGCCTTCAATGCTACAATATTCATAGGTGGGGCTTTAGGGAACTGATCAGATCATTGGGGCTCTGGCCTTATCAATGGATTGACCTAATCAATGGATTGATGGGTTCATAATTTGATGAACTATTGGGGAAGTGATACAGCTGAGGAGGTGAGAGCTAGTTGAAGAGAATAGGGCCTGGAAGGTAGGCACTTGAGTCTCTATTTTGCCCCCAAATCCTTCTTTCACACTGTCTATATCCCAACCTCTGCAAGGCAACTAGTTCTGTTCCACAACACCCTTTCTATCATGATGAGATTCTAAGACAAACAGGAATTTGATCACAGAGACAGAAATATGACCAACAAAATGTGTACAAGATTAAGAGTATATATAGCTTAAGTGGTAGAGCACTATTTGCCTAACCTCTACTAGCCCTGGGTTTAATCCTAGTGGGTTAATTTTTAAAAACCTAAGAATTTTTTTCTTCAAAAGACACAGTAACAAAAATAATAGCAAACTGTACAATGAAAGGCAACTTTTACTGAATGAATTTTTAAGAAAATTATTATCCAGCCTACAAAAGAGTACTGAAAGTCAACATTGAGAAGACAAATAACACAATTTTAAGATGGGTAAATATATGAACAGATACTTTGCAAACAATTATATATATACATACACACATACAGAGTCAATATGCATTATGAAGAAATGTACAGCAACTCTAGTTATCAGACAAATGCACACTGTTAAACTAGAAAAAGTGACAATAGCAAGGGCTAAACAGGATATGAAGCCACTGGAAATCTTAAAAATGAAATGTAAGCCACTTTAGAAAGCAATATGGCAATTCCTTGTAAAATTAAACATGTATGACCTGGTAATCCCAGTCCTAGATATCAGTCTAAGACACAAGTATGTCCACACAGCTGTGTATGTGAATTATTCCTAATATCCAAGTATGAATCACTACTACTCATAATAGCCCCAAACTCTAAACCACCCAAATAACCATCACTGTTGAATAGATTTCCTAACGTGTTTATCCACAACCTAGACTCTAAGTCAGTAGGAAAATGAATTAAGTGGGTCATTTAGAAACATTAATGCTACGTGAAAGAAGTCAAAAGCAAAAACCTATTAACTGTATGATTCATTTAATTAAAACACTATAAAAGACAAAATTCTAATGGCAGTGTGTCAGTGGTTTCTCAGGCCTATGAGGGCAAGGAGTGAAATGAAAAAGTGCACAGGAAACACTGTGGCCAGGAGAGCTATTCTATACTTTGGCTATAGTAATTTTGCTGGGTTGTAGGCAGTAACACAATTAGCCACCACATACTTAAAGTTGTATAGTATGTTACCATAACAAATGCATAAAGAAAGGGCATGTTTTTTAATATAATGAAGTCAAAACTAAGTATTTTGCTTACTAAGTAAATCCGTTTAGATGACCCAAAGAGATCTGGCAAGTGAAGTCAACCTTCCAAATTGACCGATCTATCATTAGATCTATTATTAAATGCATCAGAAAAATAGTTTTATGTGCGCAATAAGATTTTTGAGCCCTCCCTGAGTGATTCTGAGGGAGAAAAGAGTGAATGTGAATCAAGGGAAAGAAAATAAAACTATCTGACTTTCCCTTTAGGTCAAACAGTAACTTGTCAAGGACCAGTGACAGAAAACCCTATGAAAATCCAGCCTCAACTTCAGGGAACATCATATGATAGAACTGAAAAATGAGTAGACAGTATTTCTCAGTGACTTTAGAAAATCAAGGAGCTGCCAAAACAGGGTTGAAAAAATGTCTTGGGGAAAGTAAGTCTTTGAATCAATGATATGAGTTATTTTCATTTTAATTTATATGAAAGATCTATACCATGGAATAATTTTACCAATCTGGACTTCATTGTGGATCAATTTTCATATTGATGAATTACTGCAATGATACTCAAATACTTTCTAAATGGCCCAAACTCAGTCTCTGCTATTATTCACATCATACATTCATACTCTATATTTTCCATAATTAAAGAAACAATATTAATATTCTGTCATTTCCTGAAGTCCTTCCTTTATTTGGATATACTGTGTTTTTGCCTAATGTGTTTTTTAATTACAGAGCTCCACACAGGAAACAGCATTATACTTAGTAGTTACATCTGTTTAAAAGGCCCTTTTCTTTGGTGGAGGGAGAGGCAGGACTGGGAACTGAAATCACACTTGCTAGGCAAGACTCCACCTCTTAAGCCATGTTTTTAGTTTGTTTTTCAGATGAAGACTAGGTCTAATCTCTGGTACAGTCCTCTTGGCTCTTCCTCCCAAGTAGCAGAGATCCCAGGAGTGTACTTCTAAACCTAGCCCTTCTATAAGCATTTTTATTGTGATTTTTCTCAGATTTACCTTGCTTTTGATGATCTTAATCCTGAGGAGTTCTGATTAGGCAAGTTATAAAATGTTCCTCATGGAATGGATTTCTTAGAATGCTTTTGTTTCATTATTTAACTATTAAAGCCATTTACTGTAATAATAATTTAGTGACTTGATTTATTATCAAATAACCTTCTTAATATGTCTAAAAGGGTTCCTGATGCGTCCATTTAAGTTAATGCTTCCAAGTGAGTTACCAAGTACACTTCAGCTCCAAAATGAAGTTATTCTTTTACATACGCATCTTGCATTTTAAGAAATCACATTAATAATATTAATTCAATGAAGCTCAAGTAAAATACAATAGTGAGTCCACAGCTAAGAGTAGTAATTCCCTAACTTGCAGGAAATTATTTTAATAAGAGTAACTTTATTCTATTTTCATGCATGTGTGTGCTGGTCATGGGGCTTGAACTCAGGTGAACTTAGGTGCTGCTGTCCCTTTGTTCTCAAAGCTAAAGCTTTACCACTTCAGCTCCACTTCTGGCTTTTTTTGGGGGGGGAGGTGTTAATTGCTAGTAAGAGCCTCACAAGCTTTCATGCCTGGGCTGGCTTCAAACCAGCATCCTCAAATCTCAGCTGCCTGAATAGCTAAGATTATAGGCATAAGCCACTGGTGCCCAGCCAATTTTATTCTTTTAAATTAATTAAGTCATAGATTTTTATATACTTTCCTCCAAATCACTGGTGGATTAAAGAAAACTAGAACCAACAACTCAACTTTATTTCCTAAGTGGACTTAATGAATAAAGACACCCCTGAAATTTGAAGGAAACAGGATCTTCTAACCATTACCACTTTGATGATATAATTAACACATTATTAAGCTATTGAAACTTAATGAAAGAGTATAAAAATAAACATTTATCAGAAATAAACTCCATTACTAAGGCCACTGAATAAGTAGCCGGTCATTTTTCTCACAATATGATGGGGAAAAAATTATGTGTCTTACTATCAGTCAAGTTCATTAAAGAAAATGTTTTAATGACTATGCATCAAGGTATTATTTGTCTGTAATTCTAAAGACAAGGTCAATGAGAAGAAACACCCAACCGAAATTGGATTTGTTCACCCCAAAGGCAAATGCTGCCTGAAATGATCTAGGGAAAGGTGATCCCATACTTTTGTGAGAGGAGTGGGTAGACAATTAGCAGCTAGGCAACTGGACAAGTCTGGGTCAAGAAAGAGTACTTTATTACCAGCAAAAATAACAATAGACATAAATAAATGAAATAAAATAAAATAAAAATAGACAATACTCCTGCTGATTCCTTATAGTGCTAATTATCTTTCTATCTATCTATCTATCTATATATCTATCTATCTATCTATCTTTTAGTAAAGGAGTCAGAATTTTATTTGATTCTATTTTTTCCCACAGGTCAGTTGTGTCTTTGGTTGCAGAAACTGTCATATCCTGTAGGAAGCTGCAAATACCCAACTAGAACTCTGGTAAGGGGACAACTCTGGAGGACCTGATGACTATGGAGGTGGCAAGCACTTGAGAGGGAAAGAACAATTCAGAGTAGACATTTTAATGCACACTAGAAAAGAAAAATGACAGGAAAGTAAAGCCGGCTCTGTGGGGGATTCGTCTTATCAAAAGTGGGGAGGGTGAACAGAAAGGATGAAGGAGGATGACTATGGTCAGAGTCATTTATTCATAGATAGCATATATGAAAATAGAATAATGATCTGGGGACTGGTGGCTCACACCTATAATCCTAACTAGTAAAGAAACTGAGGCCTGCAGGATCCCAGTGTAAGACTAGCCAGGCAAAAAGGTTTGCTAGATTTCATTTCCAAAATAACTAGTAGGGAGTAGGGATGGAAGTACTGGGAGAGGTACATACCTGTTGAGAGCTGATGTTTATTGGTTGTTTTAAAACAATCCATGTGACGCTTTCAAGAAGAGGTGGAACTGTCAGAGAACCAGGATATGTCCAGTAGTCCCAGGAGGATGGAAGTAGAGATAATGGGTCAAAATTTGTGAATCGAGTTTGCTTACCCTGGAAAAACAAAGTGAATTCCACAGATTGCAATAAAATCTTACACGGACAAAAATTCTTCCAATGAGATACTATGATACTATTTAATATTTTTCTTTAGTATCTTAAAAACAATTATCTGAGCTGGGTGTGAGTGGCTAACTACTTGGTAAGCTAAGAACAGGGGGATCACCATTCAAGGCCAGTTCAGGGTACAGTGTCTGTCATCTCAAACTCTCTGTGGGGTGGCTCAGTGGTAGAGTGCTGGCCTTGCATGCATGAGGCCCTGGGTTTGAATCCTCAGCACCACAGAAGCAGAAAAAGCTGGAAGTGGCACTGTGGCTCAAGTAGTAGAGTGCTAGCCTTGAGCTGAAAAGCTGAGGGACAGTGTCCAGACACAGAGTTCAGGCCTCATGACCAAAAAAAAAAAAAAAAACCTATAAAGCAGAAAGTAATTCTACATGAATACATTTATTAGTAATTATCAAGATATTATCAGATCCTTCATAATTTTCAAAAGGTAAGTTACTTCTCTTTTGTTGAAATATGCTGCCTACATTCATCAAAGCAAGAAGTACTTGCTATACCCACACTGTAAGTCTTTATACAAGGACCAAAGACTTTAGGAGGAAAGGAAGATATTAGTCATCAGCAAATAGGAGCTCATTTTACCTTTTCTTTAATAGAATCCAAAATGTCAGTAACCTTTTGAAGCTGAGGGTTGTGTTCACCAGTCTAAAAACATGAAATTTCAAAAGAAATGGTTATGGTAGCAAATCCAGTCTGTGTCATTCCATTTCACTCACTATTTTGTCATTGTTGTCTTAAAAAAAATCTAAGCCAGCACAAAACAAACACTTGTTGATCTAGGACAAAGCTTCTTTTCTACCTGAGAGAGTGATCATGCCAGAGTTAATAAGAACAAGTTGACAGGACAGGATTCCTGTACTCAACTTTCAATTTGGTTTTGAAACTGGTAATGACAGCTTCCCATTTGTTTTTGTCTTCTGAATGTTTTACCTGAGACAAACCTTGCTAAGGACATTCTAACAGAATTCCTTCACTATGAAGCTACACACAACATTCAGACCCAAGATACAACTGACTATGGTGGTTGTAAATACTAGACCAAAACATCTTCCACTTGCAGCCTGAAATTATTTAAGATCCCAAATTGAGCGAAAATATCACAAACAGAAAGTCCATATTCCATGGACTCACCAGCATCATGAGTGTTGTGAATCTACTATTGGTTTTAAACGCATAAGGACTAACCTGTAGTCACTTGATCAAGCTGCCACTACACAGAGGTGGTGGCCAACTTACCCATGGCCTACCCAGCCTCCACCTTAAATCCCTCCCCCAGCCTCAGGTCTGTGAGTTACAACACCACACACAGAGAATGGAGCATAGCAAGACAATGCCACACCCTACAAGAATGTGGTAGCAGTGGGAGCTGAGAGGCCCAACCTGTCCCCAGAGTGATGACAACTTCTCTGTGCACTTGTGAACATTAGACAAAAAGAAATATGACACTCTTTATTTCTCAAGTTATAGCCATGTCTCAATGAATGGCATCACCTGGAAGAGCAGTGCCTGGCATTTCTTCTCTTTGATACTGCATTGGACACCACTGTGAATCCTCAGCCCCACCTCTTGTTCTGGCTAGTTCCTAGATGGCCAGTTCTGAGCAGCTAACTACTGGCCTTGTTAGTGGCACTACGGAGCACCTGACAGTTACATCAGCCATTTCTCTTGCCTCTGGATTTTCCTGATGTTGATTTCAGGAATTCAAGAGCTTGCTTGACCCACAAGGAATTTAACACCAGAGATCTGAACCAATGGTGTTTTAAAAGAATTGGTCAGCATGGTAAGAGACAACATGCCATTGTGTTCAAACAAGTGCTTCAACAGTAATGAGCCAGGTACTAGTGGCTCATGCCTATAACCCAAGATACTTAGAAGGCTGAGATCTGAGGATCACTGTTCAAAACTAGCCTTGGAAGGAAAGTCCTTGAGAGTCTTATCTCCACTTAAGTAGCAAAAAAGCCAGAAGTGGAGGGCTGGGAAGGTGGCTCAGTGGTAGAGCACTTACCTTGCATGCTCGAGGCCCTGGGTTCAATTCCTCAGCACCACATAAGAAAAAAGCTGGAAGTGGCTCTGTGGCTCAAGTGGTAGAGCGCTAGCCTTGAACTGAAGAGCTGAGGGACAGTGCCCAGGTCCAGAGTTCAGGCCCCACGACCGGACCCAAAAAAAAAAAAAAAAGCCAGAGGTGGAGCTATGGCTCAACTGGTAGTGCCAGCCATAAGCAAAAAAGCTAGGGGACACTGCTAAGACCCTGAGTTCAAACCCCAGCATGGGCACAAAACAACAATCAAAAAATTAAAAAATAATCTTGAGCTTAAACCCTTTGCTGCTCTGTATAACTGAATATTTATCAGGAATCAAAAGGTGCATAGGAGCCAGGCACCAGTGGCTCACAAATGTAATTCTAGCTACCCAGGAAGCTGAGATCTGAGGATCACGGTTCAAAGCCAGCCTGGACAAGAAAGTCCATGATACCCTGTCTCCAATTAACCACCAGGAAACTGGAAGCGGTGCTGTGGCTCAAGTGGTAGAATGCTTGCCTTAAGCTTAAGAGCTCAGGACAGCGCCTAGGCCCAGAGTTCAAGCCAAATGACTGACCAAAAAAAAAAAAAAAGTGCTAGGCTGTTTTCTTCTCAGGATGGCAGTTGATTTCTTTCTGCTGCTAAACTGGTTATGGATATTGCTGTCAAAATTCACGTAAAAATTATCAATGGAGAGCCTAGAAGAATCATCAGACTATGTACTAAGTTAATATGTAACTTTTTAACACTTCAAAGGAAAATACTAAACCTAGAGCTAGTTTATTATTAAAAAAATACTCAAACAATAGGTACTACATGACTGAAACTCTTTGTTCAATATAGCTGATCATTTAACAAGAGCTCAGTGGATTCTTACCTTTAAAAACACTCCCAGGACAGCTAGTCCATCTGGCGCATGGGCTGCCTCTACAAAGCTGGGGTATTTGTCTGAATTCCAGTGGACAACATGAAGCTGAAAAAGAGGGACGTAATACCATTCAAATGTTTGTTTCAACCTCCTAGAAAACATAATGCAGGGGGTAGTTGTGGAGGTGGGAGGGAAGGGATGGTAGTGGGAAAACAAAGGAGGAGGCAACAATGCTCAGTAGGAAATGTGCTCATTACCTTGCTCATGTAACTGAAACCCCTTTGTACAGTATTTTTACAATAAAAAACATACACAAAAAAAGAAAACATAAATGCAAATACAACATGGCTACTGATATTTGATGCTGTCCACTCATATGTATAATGTATTCTTCATGAAAATCTTTGGCTCCATCCTGTTTTATTCAAAACTAAAGGTCAAACCGGAAGGATCATGGTCAATGACCTATAGTATTTTATTTAAAAGACTACAATACCTTGTTCATTCTTCCCAGTTGCAGCCCCAGCCAAGTCCTACTCAAAGACTGATTTGGGGGTACTTTTGGGCCTTTGAGGAAATTTCAACAGAGCAGTCCTAGATCAGATCCCACTGCTCACTTGAGCGCTTGGAGGAAGCTGGGCTGCAAGGCTAGAGATGTCAATTTCCTACACCATCAGTCTTTAGGGACCATCCTGTTGTTAAGTACAATGAAATGATCTCGAAAGTGTCTAGTCAGATGTTTATTACATGTTTGTTTGTTGATATAGGAGCTCATTATTTGGCTCAGGCTGGCCTGAGACTCACTGTGCAACCCATATTGTTCTCAAATTCATGGTCCTCCTACTGCAGCCTCTTAAGTATGGGGAATGGGTGTATGCCACCATACTTGGCTCAGTTTTCATACTTAATGGCTTCAAAAGACAAAACTTCCCTTATGAGAAAGTATTTCAGAAGTATACACACCTTCTTGTTATTAGATTACAAATAATGTAATGTTTTTATGTAATTATAGAATGTAAAAAAATTATATCAAGCTAACTGACATATCCAGCAACTTGCTTTTTATGTGTGTGCGTGCCACTCCTGGGCCTGAACTCAGGGCCTAGGCTCTGTCCCTGAGCTTTTGGCTCAAAGCTTGTGTTCTGTTCTTTTGGTAGTTCATTGGAGGCAAAAGTCTCATGAACTTTCCTGCCTAGGCTGGCTTCTAACAATAATCCTCAGATCTCAGCCTGCTGAGTAGCTAGGATTACAGGTGTGAGCCACCAATTCCTGGCTTACTTACTTTTTATGCATTTATAACCAACCATATATAAATATCTTCATTTTCTTTTCTGGGAAATGAAGCTGTGGGTCTAGGAACTGAAGGTGAAAAGGGTGGGCAGGTAGGTGAGAAGAGGATTTCAAGTGACAAAGAACTCCAGAGAACATATTTACTTCACAACTCTGCTCTCAGGCAAGTGGCCCCAAGGAAACTTGAATTTCCTATTCTGTAAAGCACTGCAGTATCCAAAACATACACAAAAATATGAGAGACTGTGTAGTTTTCTACACAGTAGAAATGTAGAAAACTACATTTTTCAGTCCTGGTTAAGAGAAGCACAAACTGAGAAGTCAAAGGTCAACATGCCACACCCAGAAAGATTTAGTTAGGGTCATAAACTCTGAAGAGCAGGTCATACTGTCCAGGTGTCTGATAAAAGTCATGGCCTACAGAAAGGGAACATTCAGGACTCCTTCTGACATTCGTGTAGCCTTCATGTCCCTATTTCCTGCTTGATTATTATAAAGAAATGTGGTGTCTTTTGCTTACCTATTTTTATTCCCTCTTTCATATATAACTCCAAATCTTACAAGCAACTAACATTGAAGGGATTTCTGAAGAGATAACGACTGTCATAAAGAGTCAGTTATACAGGTGTGCGATAGTACACTATTCACACACAAGCAAGGAGATGGCTAGATAATCAGACAGAAAATACAAAGGTGGATTCCTGTCTTGTCATCCTGTTCCCTGTAGCTGTGGGATAGTTGGGGGAGGAAGGAAACTATAAACACTGGATGATGAAACAAACTTGATGTGGCTCACAGCAGATAGAGGATGTAGAGGGCTCCAGTCAAGTCCAAGGGCTCCAGGCCAATCAAAACAACTCACTCACTTAGCGAGAAACCACATCAAAGGGCCACAACCATCACTGTTAGAAAATAGAAGTATATTTCTTCTATACACAACCACCCTTCTGCTAAATGAAAAACAACTTGAAATAAGATGGGAAACAACAACAAGGAATTAATGTTTTTGTTGTTGTTATTGTTGTTTTTAAAGAATAACTCAGTCCTATCTCCCACATAATTTGCTTGAGTGATAGCCCTGTCTTCCCCAAAGAACTTGATACTACTTTTTTATTAACACCTGTATTTAAATTAAAACACAGAGTAGCAATCTTGAGTTTCCTGGCTAACAATAACAGCAGCAGTGATTTGAGCTGAATGACAAGGTGTTGTAGTCACTGCAAAAGAAATGGAAATATGATTTTCCATCTAGGAAAACAATTTCAAAATTACACTATCCAATGTCAGCATTTTTCAGTTGCTTACATGTAAAATACCAAGAGACACTAAGTTGAAAACACCCTGCCATAAATGTAGAAATTATTTCCCAATTATCTACATATTTAATGTGTTTACAGTATATGGTGTGTCAACTTTCCATCTGACCCGAAGGAATCAAGTTAGAGAAAATATTTGTCTTGGCACAGTTTTGAAGGACCATGGTCATTGGTCACTTGTTTGGGGGCATTGGTGAGGCAATGCCATGGTTGGATTACTGGGTGTAGCTAAACCGCACACCTTAATGCCAGGAAACAATAAAGAGCAAAAGGAAGAGCTATTGCCCCACTCTCCCTGTAAGGTGACACCATCAGTGATCTAAAGACCTCCCCCAAGGAGCCATGTAATAAAGGTCCCACCAACTCCCAATACCACCACCTTGGGCACATTCAAAATCTAATGTCCCCAGAAAAGATGAACTATATTCAGATAAAGTTCCAGATATAGAGCAAGCTATTAGTTTATATGAATATGTAACTTTAGGAATAAATTTTCATTAGCTCTCTCTCCAGTAGCAAAAGCCATCGTATTAGGTCCTAAATAAAACTCGGTATGCACCTCTAAATAGCTTTTTTTGGTCTATTTTATCAGAAGAAATAACTCAACAGCCATGAACTTAAGTAAAATCTAAACATCTTGGAATCACTTCCAGAGTTCGTACAGATACTTCTTTTTTATAAACCTGAAACTCAAATGTAAGTGATGTCCACTTGCCACCATCTCTATCCCTGGTCTCTTCATTAAACTCCAGGTTTGTATCTACAATGTACTCGGCATGATACTAGAATGAGTAACAGGTTTCTCCAACTTAGCTTTGTTCAGAACAAGAGTTAATTGTTTTTTGCAGCCCACTCCTCCCTGGACTCACATGCTCTGGGTTTCTATGGAAACCTAGAAACGAGTGACCTAAAGCAGCCAGCTTTTAATCTCTGAGATTCTTTTAAGATTTAGAACAACTTTTAAATCGGGAAGGCAAAGCTTTAGAAAGCAAACATGTAAATCGCCCAGTAGAGGATCTAAACTGAGACACCACATAAGATACTATAATTCTGCTTTTTAAGTATCTTCTACCAACATAGAATAAACACTTCACATGTACACATTATTCTTCTACCTGAAGACAAAGCAGGCCTCATAACCTGAAGCATTTGGCTTCACACAAAAGCAATCTAGTTGGCAAAATGAACATTTGGATACAGCTCAAATAGCAGATTGAGTGTTAAAGGAATGAAGCTAGAAGGAAGTTCTGTTTTCTGGATTTTCCTGAACATTTAGGCTGCCACAGCTCAGTAGCCAACAGAAAATGAAGAAGATTTTGTAATGTATTTGTCCAGGAGCTCTGCTGTGACTTATATAACACAGAAACCAAGTCAGTTTTTCCTGGAGTAATTTTGATTGAGTCGTGCAAATATTCGCTTTCATCTCATGCTAAATCTGGGTGTTAAATGTTTTAATCATATTAAAAGTTAGAGTATATTATGCTTCCTCTTTTCACCAGAGGATTAAAAATTAGAGTAATATTAATGAATACAATTAGAATAAAAAAGTAACTTTCCAGTGAAAAATAAATAAATGAACATTTTATTTTTTAATGTCATTTGATGTCATTTCCCAATGACCTGAATAATTAACCAAAGTTCTATCTTGTACCTGCAAATGTAGAGATAACATAAAGTTTAGGAAAGTGTATGCCTTTATATTTTTTCCTAAGTAGAACTTTGCCATACTTGATGTAGGCTGTACATATTTGCATATATTTGTGTCTGGATCAAATATGTAAACAGTTGAACCAAAGACAAAAGTTTTCTTTCCTTCCCTTCGCATTGGTCTTTCAAGAGATAACAGCAGGTATTACTAATTTACCATTAAGAATACCTGGTTTAGGGCTGGGAAAGTGGCTCAGTGGTAGAGTGCTGACCTTGCATGCATGAGGCCCTGGGTTTGATTCCTCAGCTCCACATAAGCAGAAAAAACTGGAAGTGGTGCTATGGTAGAGTGCTAGCCTTGAGCTGAAGAGATGAGGGACAGCGTCCAGGCCCAGAGTTCAGGCCCCATGACTAACCAAAAAAAAAAAAAAAAAATCACAACATTTCCCAGCTGCATAAAAAAATTAATCTCTCCAAGTCTCCAATTTGTTCATTTCTAAAAGGAGAACACACACCCTTACTTAGCTCTCAAAGTTGGTTTAAATCCTAGAAGGGCCTCTTTTGAAGCTGAATGAATGCAGCAATCTTATATACATACACACCTAACTGGCTCAGGGTCTAGAGAGGTCCAGATAGTCATCTCTGGGTTGTTTCAATCCCACTACTTCAGGACTGTCAATCTGATGACTTACCTCTGCAGCATACCTCATGCCGTCCACCACATGCTCCGAGCCATGATCATCATTGGACCCCCAGTGAAGATGGAACTGTCGTAACCTATAGTTTCCAGTGAGAGGACCCCCACGCAGAACTAAATATCAATACATTTAAATAGTTAGTGAGAAAAACACTATCTGTAGATCCTATCACAATTCACCTCTCCCAGAATGACCCAACATATCCTTGCCCTCCAAGGAGATTTTTGTAAATGTGTCACTTGGTTTGCTGACAGGGACACAACTTTAGATATACAGGGAGGAAAAAAAAACATTTTTTAAATGTAGATAGTATATAATATAGTTATTTATGGAATACCTGGGAAATCACAACAGCCACAGAAAGTGGAAGATATTAGAATTTCTGAAATCAAAAAGGCTGAGTGGAACGGTATATGCCTGCAATCCCAGCTATCAGGGAGATTTAGAAAAAGATGATCACTATCTGAAACTAGTGATCCAACTCTGGGAGGGTGGGGAATATGAGACCTGATCTAAACGAAGACATGGTTTATATGGTAAAGAGCTTGTCTAACAAGCAAAGGCCTTAAGTTCAAATCGACCAGTACCACCAAAAATAAAATAATAATTGTCCTATTAAAATGAAGGCAAGCTAAGTCTCTGAACAATCTATTATACAAAGAAGTCCCGCTTGAGCTTGGTAGAACAATACAGCTCTCCGGTTTGGCATAGTCTTCTGCAATGGAAAACAGAAGCTCATCTTCTGTCACTACCTGTGTGGTCTTGGACAGGCTTTACCTTTCAAGCATTAGCTTCTACTTCTAGACAGAGGAGACAGTGATGGGACTTCTCTCATGAGAAGAGAATTCTCTTCATGAGAAGAGAATTATAACTGAATGCAAAGCATGCAGCACAGTTGATACATCCTGTGTTACTTGCATCTTATTATTGTTATGTCTGAAAACTGGCATCTTTTATACTGAAATTCTATATTCTTGGGAAATGTAAAACTTAGGACAAAATTAACTCTTTGTTAAGAATCTGTCATGTCTCTGACACTTTGGCAAGATACAATTTAGTATTTTCCCCTCAACAGATATCATTTTCCAAAAGGATGAAATTAGAATCCTAGTGTAAATAGATAGAAATGCTTTTTGTTATTTTTTAACAAAAAATATAGTCCTAAGTAGAATTTAGTGAGTCAAGCCTGTAATCCCAGCAGTCCCAGCACTCAGAAAGCTGAAGCAGGAGGATTTTGAGAACATGGCCAACCTGGACTATAGTGGAAACTTGTCCATACAAGCAACAAAGCCAGGTATAGGTGGTTCAAGCCTGTAACCTAGCAACTGGGACAGCTGAGACCTGGACGATCATGGTTCAAAGCCATCCGAGATTGAAAAGTCTGTGAGACACCATCTTCAAAATAAACAACAAAAAACTGATAGGATACCATTTGAGCAAGCAAGCCAAGCAACAGTAAGACTCTAAATTCAAACTTTAGTACCAGCAAAGAATGAAAGAAAGGAAAGAATGAACGAGGGAAGGGAGAGAGGGAGAGAGGGATGGAGGGAAAAGAAAGATGGAAGGAAGGAAGGAAGAAAGAAAGGAGGGAGAGAAGGGAGAGAGGGAGAGATGGATGGAGGGAAAAGAAAGATGGAAGGGAGGGAGGGAGGAAGGGAGGGAGTGAAAAGAAAGAGAGAATTTATTCTGAAGCAATATTTGAATAAATCATTACCAGGCATGCTTAAAGTATGGAGGAGGAAAGGAAGCATTGAGTAGTGAACATACCACAAGAATCACTAAACTTCTAGGTACATCTAGGTACCATATTTATATTTCTCAATATTTTTCAGAAATGATCCACCCTGTAATAAGGAGCATTTTGATCCAGATGTTCTTACAATATATTAAAGTGATAATTTTTCCAAACATTCCGAAAAAAAATAAAACAGAGCCACTTATAGCAAACTTGGGATTTGCTCTTTTGTTATCATGTTGTTTTGTTTTGTTACAAAAAAAGGAAGTTTTACTGTCAGGGTTCATGAGACTTTAGGTTTCCGCTCTCCCTATCACCTGGCCCAAGTACTATCAGAGGATATGAACAATGAATACTTGTTGAATAGATAATAAAAAGATTTGATTTACCTCGGAACAGTTTCGACATTACTTGAAATAAATTAACTTAGAGAGAAACATTTCCTAAGTGACACTCCTAGCCTGTACAAATTGCATAACCTGTATTGATGAAGGACTGATCATTCCAAAGGAAAAGAAATCAATGGCTCAATTGTCCTTTCTTCTTGGCTATTGAATAATAAAACCTGAGCCACAAGATAAAGTCATTCCTTCAGAGATAAAAAAGTGGATTACAGAGCTTGGGTAATCACTGTGGAATTGACTTGGGAGAAGATTCAAGCAAGCTGGCTCTAGAGAAAGAAAGTGATACAAAAAAAAAATACACACTGTTAGAGAAATACTCAATGATAATGGTTGATCTTTGGAAAGGCTGCCCTGAACCTGAAGTTTAAAGTCAGATTTGCACAGCTCTGCAGAAATTTCTTTATGTTACATCTTTTGACTTCACATCTGAGTATTTTTAAATATAATCTCCAGCCTGGGATTATGGTTAGTAAATGCCTTATTGTAGAGAAGAAAATTCTGTCTATACTGTGCTTTCCCAAAGAACCACAGGGAAGCAAAGAGTGAGTCTAAAACCTGATGTTATTTAACACTGACCATGGAACTATCTACAGGAAGTAGCTACACTGTGATATAAAAATCAATAAAAGTAACTACATCTTTTTTTTTTTCTTTTGTCGGTCGTGGGGCTTGAACTCTGGGCCTGAGTGCTGTCCCTCAGCTCTTCAGCTCAAGGCGAGCGCTCTACCTCTTGAGCAACAGCGCCACTTCCAGTTTTCTGGTGGTTTATTGGAGATAGGAGTCTCACGGTCTTTCCTGCTTGGGCTGGCTTTGAACCGCGATCCTCAGATCTCAGCCTCCTGAGTAGCTAGGATTACAGGCGTGAGCCACCAGCGCCCGGCGTAACCATATCTTTTGAGACAGGGTTTTGCTATGATGCCTGGCTAGAATTAAAATAGGCATCCTCCTACCTCAGCTTCTTAAGTACTGAGAATAGAGGTGTATGCCACCGCTCCAGGCAATCATAGTTATTTTTAATGAAAATGATATGTGTGTGTGTGTGTGTGTGTGTGTGTGTGTGTGTGTGTGTGTTTCATTTTTCCAGTGCTGGAGATGGAACTCTAGAACCTGTGTTATACCCCAGTCCCCGATAATGTACTTTCAAATATAAAACTAAATACCCTGCTCTATGTTCTGGATAAGTAATATACTATTATCCTTATTGTATGTTTAAAAATAAGCAATCATTTCTCCAAAGCCACAATTTGCCTATGTAGTCCATTTCTTTCACTTACATATATCTTAATCTACTCCAAATAACACACTCATAAAAGATTTCTACAGAAATTGAGAAACCAATGAAGTATCATAAAAATCCATACATAGTGATTGCTCATGGGAATTGCTCAGTGGAAAGACAGAGGCCAACCTAGCAGTTGCTGCAGCATATGAAATTTCTGGGATAGGGCAAGCATAGAATGCCAAAGGAGCCAAAGCAGGGGTGGCAGGACCAGTCAAGTGAGGTTTGCAGAAAAGGGAGATCATGAGTCCAGAAAGACAAGTAGCTGGAGCAAGAACAGCCTTGTCTTTCTTCATCCCATTATCGGTCCCTTCATCAGATGCCTAGTTACCATAGCCAATAGGAATCCTTCCTCAAGAATTTCATATCCACCTGTGTCCCATTTACAGGACTATTAGAATTCTGAGGTCAGCCATGGATGGACATCTGTCCACTCTGACAATCCCCCAAGGACTATGAGGGAAGATTCAGGCATGTTACTGGTTGACCAGTAAGATTCAGAGTTAATGATGGCCAAAATGGCTTCTTTATGAAATGGTCAATGTTCTGTTAAAATTAATATGGTCTGGTACAGAAAACCTACAGGGATTTTTTTAAATTAGTTTACAAAAAAGGAAATATCAGTAACAATTAGTTTTAACTACTGTAGTTTAATCTTTTTAATCTGTAAATCATCATGAACCAGTCTCTTTTGTTTTATCCTTACAAAAAAATAAGAATCATGATCTACATTTATATAGTTTCTGCCTCAAATGAGTACAAAGTACTTTATGAATGTTCTCAACCAATCCTCAAATTTTCATTATGCTTTAGATAGGACTGAGGTCTCCATGTAAGGAAGAGAATTCATACCACTGATCATGAAAGTATGACAAATCCAAAAACACAAGGAAATTATCTCATTGATTACCCCCAAGGTTGAGGGAGTATGGGAGGGAGAGAAAGAGGAAAGGAAGGAAGGAGGGAAGGAGAGAGGAAGAGATAGGAAGGGAAAGAAGGAGAGAAGCAGAGAGACAGTGACTGAATTATCACAGATCAAAATAGACTAAGATTTTTTTTTTTTTTATTGAGAATGCCAACATACAGAAAAGACAAGGGCTAGGAATGACTGGCTTGTACTCTCAACTAGTCAGGAAGTGGAGGGAACCAGTCTGAGTCCAGGAGAGGCAAGTTAACCAAACTCTACCTGAAATACAAACTAAAATCAAAAAGACTGGGAGTGTACCTCAAAATAGTAGAGCTTTCAAGGGAGATAGAGTTCAATTCTTATTACTGAAGAAAAGAGAAAAAGAGGAGAAGGGAGGAAGGGAAGAGAGAGGGATATGAGAAAGGAGGGAGGGAAGAGAGAGAGAGGGAGGAAGGAAGGAAGGAAGGAAGGAAGGAAGGAAGGAAGGAAGGAAGGAAGGAAGGAAGGAAGGAAGGAAGGAAGGAAGGAAGGAAGGAAGACCTTAAGCTGAAGAGCTAAGGGACAGCACCCAGGCCCAGAGTTCAAGCCCCACGGCCGATCCAAAAAAAAAAAAAAGTATCTACTCTTCACCAGGTGCTGGTGGCTCATGCCTGTTATCCTAGCTTCTCAGGAGACTAAGCTCTGAGGATGGCAGTCTGAAGCCCAGGGAAGAAAAGTCCATGAGACTCTTACCTCCAATTCACCACCAGAAAACTGGAAGTGGAGCGGTGGCTCAAAGTGGTAGAGCGCTAGTCTTAAGCAAAAAGAGCTCTGAGACAGCTCCCAGGCCCCAAGTTCGAGCCCCATAATTGACCAAAAATAAACAAACAAAAAAACATCTACTCTCTGTTGCCTAGTCGTTATAAGGACAGTATATAAATTATAGCCCAGGGGCTGGGAAGGTGGCTCAGTGGTAGAGAGCTTGCCTTGCATGCATGAGGCCCTGGGTTCGATTCCTCAGCACCACATAAGCAGAAAATGCTGGAAGTGGTACTGTAGCTCAAGTGGTAGAGCGCTAGCCTTGAGCTGAAGAGCTGAGGGTCAGTGTCCAGCCCCAGAGTTCAGGCCCCACGACTGACAAAAAGAAAAATAAAAACACAAAATGATAAATTATGCCCAAGAATCCCTAGGTCTCCTTGGCACAGGCCAAAATTTTCTTAATAGAGCCCCAGAAACACAACAAATCAAAGAAAGGTTGGGCAAATGGGATTGCATGAAATTGTAGAGCTTCTGCATGGCAAAGAACATAGCTAGCAAGATCAATAAAAAGCCCACAGATTGGGAGAAGATCTTCATTAGCCATACAACGGACAAAGGTCTCATATCTAAAATATACCTGGAGGGGCTGGGAAGTTGGCTCAATGGTAGAGCGCTTGCCTTGCATGCCTGAAGCCCTGGGTTCGATTCCTCAGCACCACATAAGCAAAAAGAAAAAACCCGGAAGTGGCGTTGTGACTCAAGTGGTAGAGCGCTAGCCTTGAGCTGAAGAGCTAAGGGACAGCACCCAGGCCCAGAGTTCAGGCCCCACAACCGGACCCAAAAAAATAAAATAAAATAAAATATACCTGGAACTCAAAAAATTAAATCCCCCAAAAACAAATCTTCAAAGAAACAACTGCCCAATGAACAAGTGGGCTAAAGACTTAAAGAGAAACTTCTCTGAAGAGGAAAGAAGGATGGCCAATAGACACATGAAGAAATGCTCAACCTCCCTAGCCATCATGCAAATCAAAACAACATTGAGATACCACCTCACCCCAGTTAGAATGGCTATAATCAAGAACTCTAATAACAACAGATGCTGGAGGGGATGTGGACAGAAGGGAACCTTACTGCATTGTTGGTGGGAGTGTAAACTTGTTCAACCACTTTGGAAAGCAGTATGGAGGTTTCTCAAAAGACTCCACATAGAGTTCCCCTATGACTCAGCAATCCCACTTTTGGGCATTTACCCAAATGATCACAAACAAGACCATACTAAAGCTACCAGCACAAGTATGTTTATTGCAGCATTATTTACCATAGCTAAGATATGGAACCAACCCAGATGCCCCTCAGTAGATGAATGGATCAAGAAAATGTGGTATATATACACAATGGAATTCTATGCCTCCATCAGAAAGAATGACATTGCCCCATTTGTTAGGAAAAGAAAAGACTTGGAAAAAATTATATTAAGTGAAGTAAGCCAGGCCCAAAGAAACGTAGGTCCCATGGTTTCCCTTATTTACAATATCTAGTATATGTCTGAGTCAAGCAGAAAAATTCATCTTTTTAAGCAAAAGTGTTAGTACTATACATTTTAACCAAGAAAGATATCCATGAAATATTGTCAAATGAGGAATAATTCAGAGTAAATATAGCACTAGTTCAAAAATTTTAATAAAATGTAAAGCAATATAATATGCATGTCTATATGCATGGCTATATACTTAAATAGTATGGAAGAATGCAGCTTTGAGTACATGGGGAGTCAAAATGGGTAGATATTTAAATTTTTATACATTTTTGTATTGTTTTGGTTATTATGTATATACATATTAATCGTAAAATTAAGAAACTATATTTAAAAAACTTTTTCTCTTAAAACATGTAGTAACCAGAATTATAAATTTTCAAATAAATAAAAACCCAAAATGGTTAAGAATTATTCATTAATCAAGATGTATTGTATTCACAGACTGATATGTTAAATTAAAACACACTGATACAGATACTACTAATAATAATAATAAATAGTAAAGATAAAATAATACATAAAAGAACTACTTATAAAATATTACAAAATTTCAAGTGATAAATGCTAAATGAAGTTATAATTAGCTAAGATATTTAAATAAACCACTCAACACACCCTTTTCAAACTCTCCTTTGTATTCTTCAAAGTAACATTATCTTGATATATATGATGTTTTGATATATGACAGGCCATTTCAACTCACAAGGAGAAAAAATATCGTTCTGATTCATCAAATTTCAGCTACATATGAAAGGTAAGAGAATAAAGTCTAAACATCCAAATGCTCACTTCTAATCTTAACAAATCAATCATTCCAACCTGATTTGTCCTCCGTGTCATCAAAGTCAACGTTGAAGGAATGACCACTATTGCTGATGATTTTAGCTGAGGTGGGGTCATACTTGATACTCAGAGGTCGAAGCGAGGAATCATACTTCACTTCTTTGGTTTTAATCTCAATTGGAGATTGCTGATCACCATCAGCAATGGGGAAAAATTTATTCCAATGAATAGGACCTTCAAGGCAAAGGACCCAGAGAAAAAGTTAATGAGTTCCTTTATTCAAGAAATAGTTAAGTGTAATTCACTGTGTGAAAATACAAACTAATAAAATAACATCCTAATTCTCAGGACCTTAGCATCTTCAAAACTACTTATGTGTTTTTTAATTTATGATTTGTTGTCACTTTCAGAATTAAAATAATCCACATAGACAAAAGAGCATATCAATTTTATAAAGTACTTTCCAAAGGTACCAGTCCACCAAACTAAACACAACAGTGTAATTCATCATTGAAAACAAAGAGATTCAGTTTCCAATCCAAGAATGTGCTTTTGCTGCTCCAGGGGTCAACGAGTTTACAGGGTTGGGAGAGTCAAAAAGGCTGAGAAATCTTAGGCCCAAAGAAAGCGTTCTAGTTTTCCCCCTCTGTTCTCCCTTCCTCCTTCCTTTTCTTTAGGCTCACGGGTATCATTTGTGTCACACATCTGGGTCACACAGCTCTATTCCCTACAATGTGCAATTGGAAAATGAAGAGCCTATGTGCATTGCACCGATTTATCCAAGCAAAATAGCTGTTCCATGTCAGAAAAAAATGTAATATTGTAAATTTTCTGCAGCAGGATCAGGTTGCAATTTATTTCTCTCATACTTTTTCAGAGGGTCTTTCAGGAATTATTTTGCAACATGCCAATTGAATTCCAACACAAAGACCTTTCTCTTGTGATCCTCCATGCAAAATAAGTCAAAACTTCATCACATTCACAAACCAGAGCCTTTTAGGTAAATTGAATTAAGCTAGTATGCCAACAGTCTATCATTTTCATTTCTCTGGACCACTCTATTCACGTTCTGGCTCAAAATCAACAGTTCATTTTACAAGAGTGAGTCACTTTGTAGGTTAGAAGCTGTTATTTTCTCCTCTCTACTATGCTGCAATTTACATAGTTATCACCAGGTAAGTGAGGCACATAGTTACTTCACTAACCAGTTTTGCTCTAAAAAAAAGAAATGAAGTTCTAATTAAAACAGCATAGCATGGTGATCATTGCACAACATCACTAAACAACAGCATATATTTCATAAATCATGAAATTTGGAAAGGGATTTAGGGAAATACAATATTTTGCATTCATCAGCAACTTCGATCTCTAAAAGGAGAAAAAAGAGAAGAGGAATGAAGAAGCGAGAATGTATGTTATTATTTTCACATATATTCCCTATACAAAAAGTTACACCATGAATACCTAACTGCGCACTCAATTTAAAGGTGTTTAGACTTCAAAGAAATTTGGCTACCAAAAGTCCTTAGAAAATATTATAGTAAAGGTATTGTACTTCCTTAGTCATTAAACGCTTTCATTTGCCCTTCCTAAGTACTTTTCTCTTCCTTCCTTGTTTCCTTTCCTTCTTGTTTCCTCCCTCCCTCCCTTGCTTCCATCCTTCCTTCCTTCTTCCTTCCTTCCTTCCTTTTCTCTCTCTCTCCCTTCTCTCTCTCTCCCCTCTCCCCTCTCCCTTCTCACCTCTCTCCTTTCTCTCACCAGACCTGGGGCTTGAACTCACAGCCTGAGTGCAGCTGTCCCTGAGCTTCTTTGCTCAAGGTTAGTCCTCTCCACTTGAGCCACAGCACCACTTCTAGCTTTTTCATGGTTAAATGGAGATAAGAGTCTCATCGATTTCCATGCTTGGGCAGGCTTCACAAAGATCCTCAGATCTCAGCCTCCTGAATATTTAGGGTTATGGGTGTAAGCCACCAGAGCCTGACAATCTTGTCCTCTTTTAATGTGAGAAACCTTTCTGTTTCACTGCCATCAAGTATGAGTTAACTTAATAAGAATCAGATTTCAAATATGCAATACATGTGTCACAACACGCTCTTGGCTTTGCCACAGTCAGCAAAGAGTCTTCTTTCTCTCCTAATTCCTATCCTTTACTCCTCTCAATTCTTTATAACCAGAACTGTTTTTAGAAGAGCCAATCAGAAATAAAATAAAAATAAAACTGCTTTGTTATCAGATATCCAATGCTTTTAATTGACTCATTCACTGTAATTGGTTCACTATACATAAATTGGTTCACTATAATTGCCTCGTTTTCCAGATTCTTATATTGGCCTCTCTGTTGTAAAGTTTCCAGAACACCTAGCTTCAAATCCATGGAATGAAACATCATTCTGAAGCCGAGATGGATATAGGGTGGTTTCTCAAAACTTTTAAAAACTCGATATGTAGTTTTCTATGATGTCATATAGCCTAATCCAAACCAATAAAGTGCTCAAAGGTTAGTGGAAGTAATTGAATATTGCTTGTTAGCCTGGGACCCCTTCCAGGGTTGACTTTGTTGATATTCCATTTGATCAAAGCTTTTATCATGCAGATTCAGGGAAATTTTAAGTTTCCCAAATTTCCCTAATCTGACTGGTGACTAGTTTTGCCAAAGTCTAAATTTAAAAAAAAAAAAAAAAAACTATGGAACTTGTCTAGTCAGGATACAACATATTTCTCACAGAAATTTGCCAACTTTACATCAATGTGTGGTCCTCAGAAAACCATAAAGTCTACAAGACAGATACGATCTTTAATTCCTAGCTAAAACACATAATGACTCTTTAATAATGCCTTTTCTAAAATGTGTGTGTGTGTGTGTGTGTGTGTGTGTGTGTGTGTGAGCGTGTGCGCGCGTCTTGAACTCAGGACTCAGGCACTGTCTGTGAGTTTTTGCACTCAAGACTAGAGCTATACCACTTGATCCACACACCACTTCCACCTTTTTGATGTTCAATTGGAGAGAAGAATCTTGTGGACTTTCTTGCCCAGGTTGGCTTCGAACCACTATTCTCATATCTCAGCCTCTTGAGTAGCTAGGAATACAGGCGTGAGCAACTAGCACCGGGCTTCTAAAATGATTTTTTAAGTATTTTTAAAGATGAACTTCATTGGTGCCCATATTTTCTAACATAAAATAGTATAAACGTTTTCCTTGATTGAAATACCCTTCTTCCTAATTACAGTTCACATGCTCTTAGCACCTAAAAATTATTAAAGCCCAATAATGAAAATGATTCCTAATGATTTCATCAGGCAGAGGACAAGAAATGAAATCTGTTTGTGAGGTTTGTTTTTCCAAAACATAAACTATAAATTAGCCAAGAAATAAGATGATACTATGGCTCAGTCCAAAAGAAACTCACCTAAGTTATATCTTTCATTATGAAACTTCTAAACTTCACCTGTTGCCATTCATAAACTAATGCAGTAATACGTAAAACAAGCTATGACTAGAAATGAAACATTTCTGCTTCTGTAAGTTAACTTTCTATACAGTAAATGAACATGACCCCATTTTGATAGTCATCCACTGTAACATTTTCTTGGTGTTGCTCTGTGATAAATTTGGTTCTTTAAAAAATTCATTTTAATTATTTTTAAATAATTGTAGAAAAGTGTTTCAATTCAATAAATCTCGATCAGCATCAGCCCTTCCATGATTCACCCTCCATCTTTCCCAACCCCATCCATTTGTTCAAATTTCATAGTTCCATTTCACATATGTGCATTAAATATGACTGTATTTGTTCCATTCAACTGATCCCTCCCCTTAAATGTCACTCACTCTCAAAGGACACCTGTTTCAGCTGGTATTCATTGTGTTAAACTATTAATTGCTCTAATGGGGTTATACCATGGACATCCACCCCTCCCAGTACCATACCTTAGTTAAACTGTGTATACACCTTTGCGACTATATCGAATAATCTTTAAACAACCAGCTCAACCTAATATACAAATAAGAAAAGTGTTTTCTTGTCAAACCTTAAGATACACAAAAGAGAAGTGCATGCCTTATTATTGTCACTCCCATCAATAAATACAGTTATAACACAGTTATATTTTCAATATCCCTTTGCGAATCCTCACATCTCTGCAAGGATACATGTGCAGAAGCACCCCATAATGTGCCTTTCCTTGCTCAGGAAGAACAGAAAACCTTACCACGGATGCCAAAAGTAGTCATTCATAGGCAAACTGCTGTGGGACTCTTACAGTAACCCATTAAAATGTGTTCAATGTTTTGGTTGTCAAGGAGACAATTAAATCATCGATGTCACTATGCCAGGTGTTCATATTTCTTAATTTTCCTTTCAAAGATTTTTTTCCCCCAAGATTGTGTGTCTCCTTGGTGAATAGCGAGCTTGAAGGACGGAAAGTGAACTTGTCCTCATTTTAGAAAAGTATGTCATCTGACTTCTAATCTCCAAGCTTCTGATAAGTAGTTGTTGTTAAAGCTCTCCGCCTTCCAAGTAAAGGTGGACGAACACAGGGAAGAGTGCAGGGGTCTGGGAAACCTCCCACCCCACCCCCCAAAACAATAAACTAGTATTGATCCTCCCACTACCAACGTCGCGCGGAGGGGCTTTTCCCCGGGTCTGCAGGAGACCGAGCCTGCCCGCCGCTTCCTGCCCGGGCCGCTGGGAGCGGTGCTCAGTTTAAAGAGGAACCGAAAAGTTGTCTTGCCCGAGTGAGCTCAGCTGCGCGCGGTCTGCGGGCGCCGGGCACTGGGCATGGTCCCAGTCCCCTCGACCAACCCCCGGGACCCGCTCCGAGCCGTGGAAGACGCTCACCGTTGTGCTCGCCGTATCCCCAGCTGAGCCTCGCCATGTCCCTCGCGGTGGACGCCAGTGGAAGATGTGTCTGGGACAGCCAAGGAGAGAGGGAGTGGCACCGGCGCGCGGGCGGGAGCCAGCCGAGGGCGGGTCCGCCGCCAGCGCCAGGGCACCCTGGGCCCGGCGCTCCCGACCGCATCCTCCAGGGGGCAGTGGAGGGTAGGGACGGCACCCAAGCGCCAAGCCCGCCTGGGAAGGTGATGGGGAGCTTGGCTGAGCGCTGGGGCCGCCAGTCCTTGATGCTGCCAGCTTGGACTCGGGAGTGGGGGGATCGGGTTAGACAGACACAGACAGACAGACACACACACACACACACACACACACACACACACACACACACACACACACACACACACACACAGGATTTCCAGAAGGGATTTCTAGCTTTCTTGGAAGTAGTGACTCCGAAGAGGAAAGGAGCCTGGAAGGGGATTTGGGAAATGCGTTCCCCTCCCGCAGCTGTCGGACCCTGCTGGAGATAGGCAGAGGTTGTGATGGGCCCAGCGGTGGTGATTACAAAATGTATCCAAAACAATAATGACAATGGTAATAACCACCACTTAGGAATGGCAACCACTACTTACAAGAGCTTTCTGTGGGCCAGGGGCTTAGCGGAGACAGTTTCCCACATTTTTCCCTGAGATCTTACAAGCATTCCAATGAGAAGAGAATACTGCGCTTCCTTGCCTTCCCCCCTTCGGTCTAAGTAGAAGGACAGGAAATGAAACTTAAGCGATGCTAAGTGGCTCCCTGCAGGTCACACCGCTGCTGGAGACCTCTAAAGAAACTCAGACCCCGCCCTGGGCATGGGAGAGGGGGCTGGGAGGTGGGGGGATGGGAGCCCATCACTCCTGCGCCTTGAAGGCTCATTGACCTCAGGGGAAATCCGCCTTGCTTGGGATGCTTGGCTCCAAATTCGGCTGCCCTTCTGATCCTACAAAAAAGAAAAGTTTTTCAGGCCATGTTCCTTGGGGCTTGCTGCTGTCCAAGGAGTAGAGGCAAAGCTACCTTCAGGGCTTGAATTTCTCTCCTGGCATGGTGGATGTTCTGGGTACCCAGGGATTATTCTGTTCTAGCTGCTGAAAGCCAGTTGTGGTCCACTGGAAATTTCAGATCACACTGGGCAGTGTTGGGCAAGCGACAAACCCCTTTTTTTTCTTTGTCAGTCGTGGGTCTTGAACTCTGGGCCTAGCCACTGTTCCTCAGCTCTTCAGCTCAAGGCGAGCACTCTACCGCTTGAGCCACAGCGGCATTTCCAGTTTTCTAGTGGTTTATTGGAGATAAGAGTCTCACGGACTTTCCTGGCCGGGCTGGCTTTGAACCGAGATCCTCTATCTCAGCCTCCTCAGTAGCTAAGATTACAGGTGTGAGCCACCAGTGCCTGGCTGGCTTTTTCTATTTATGTGGTGCTGAGGAATCAAATCCAGGGCCTCAGGCATGTGAGGCAAGCACTCTACCACTGAGCCACCTTCCCAGCCCACAAATCACTTCGTAATGGGTACAACCCTCCCATTAAAAGCCATTGTGATTATTTAATTATCATGTCTTCTTTTTTTCTGGACATGCACACAGCTTCTGCATAGAGTAGTTATCCACTTCCCGGAAGAGACCCTTGGTAGTCATCCTTGTGTAGGCTGCTTTAATTAAGGATCCATGTGAACCATTCCTCTTTAGACCTGATGTGATACCCCATACTGCAGCCTGCCTCTCCCTCCTGCTTTGTAGTTCTTACTGAGGCTAGAAAGCAGCATGAACACTACCAAGTTTCCAGCACAGTGTTAAATCCAATAATTGATGCTCCTCTTGAATCTAAGGGAAACCCCGTAGATATAGCTTTCTCCCCCACCCCATATTTGCTGAGTGAATTGTGTTCCTAGTAAAGCTATTGTGTACATCAATGCACCAGTACTGGGACTTAAATTCAGGGCCTGGTGCTCTCAGATTTGTCTGTTCAAACAAATACTTTCCAATTATGATGCCTAGATCTCTGCCTCTTGAGTAGCTAGAATGACCGGTATGGACCATCAGCACCTGGCAAATTCAGATAATGTCTTCAACAATAATTGGTGAGTTTAGCAACAGGATATTTGAGAACTGACAATACTATTCTTTTGTTTTTTTTTTTTTGGTCCGGTCGTGGGGCCTGAACTCTGGGCCTGGACGCTGTCCCTCAGCTCTTCAGCTCAAGGCTAGCGCTGTACCACTTGAGCCACAGTGCCACTTCCGGCTTTTTTCTTATGTGGTGCTGAGGAATCGAACCCAGGGCCTCAGGCATGCAAGGCAAGCGCTCTACCACTGAGCCACCTTCCCAGCCCTACTATTCTTATAAGTTTGTAATAGGTAAGAATTCCCCCCACCAAAAAAAAAACAAACTGGGAAAATGAAATCCTTGTACTTCCGTAAATCTATAAACCCATTAACTTACAAAATAATCCTACATAATCATATGCATTTTCTCCTTACCAAAGCCTCTGTCACTGGCTCACAATGATTTGTGGAAACAAGTAAAGGAAGATCAATGTTGGCCAGAGGGTACTGGCCAGGATTCCTGACCAAGAAAATGTTTTTCAGTACTTCATCTTGTACCATTTAAATCCCGTGAAAACTTCCTCTGAGGGTCAGTGGTAGAGTGCTTGCCTTGCATGCATGAGGCCCTGGGTTTGATTCCACAGCACCACATAAGTAGAAAAAGCTGGAAGTGGTGCTATGGTTCAAGTGGTAGAGCACTAGCCTTGAGCTGAAGAGCTGAGGGACACCCAGGCCCAGGGTTCAGGCCCCACAACCGACCAAAAAAAAAAAAACAACAACAACCTTTCTCTGATGTGTTATAGTGACTCTGTTCCATGAATCAGACACTGTTGCAACGAGTGGCACTTACAAGTTCCAAATCTAGCCATTAAAATATCTGACTAACACAGTGACGTATTAAGGAAGTATCAAAGTATGAAAGTATAAGCTACTATTGTTTTATTGGGTACATACATAGATTCTTTATCCAAGCGGCATATTTTCCCAGCTATTCTTTTTAAGAAACTCCAAACTTGAAATGAAGTGGCTGTTAATCACTTGACTTTTACCAGGAAACTGAGGTGAGCAAAGTTCTTCAGCTGCCTAGAGAGGGACATAGCTCCAATCTGTGGAGTCCCAAGTCCAAGTTACTCTCAGTGTATGCCCCATTGTCTTCATTTATTGAGTCCTCTGACTTGTGTAGCTAGGCCTTATTGGTATTATCATTCATTATCTTGGGGAAAGTGTTGATTTTATGGCATTGATGTGATATCCAGTTTCGATTTCTTTAACTTCCCATATCTAAAGTTATCCTAAGATCAGGATTGCATAATTCCGTCCTCCAAGGAAGAGTTTCAGTTCCCAAAAATTTGAAGAACTGGTTTTGGTGACCCAGATTTCAAGCCAAAATGAGGCTTCTCAGACCAAAACTGAAAGGGTAATGTCAGTGAATCCTTCAGAAATCATCCCTTTAGATTAGTTTCTCACACAAGATACTTCATGTGGGATGGGGCAAGGAAGGGGAGAGAGAGTAAGTAGAAATTGTTTTGTTTGTTTGTTTTTGTTTTTGTTTTTTTGCCAGTCCTAGGCTCTGTCCCTGAGCTTCTTTTGCTCAAGGGTAGTGCTCTACCACTTGAGCCACAGCACCTCTTCCTGCTTTCTCTGAGTAGTATACTGGGGATAAGAGCTCAAGTATTTTCCTGCTTGGGCTGGTTTCAAAGTGTGATTCTCAGATCTCACTCAGCCTCATGACTAGGTAGTATTACAGGCATGGCCACTGGCACCCAGCTATTAGAAATCTTTTATTGCTTAGAGAAAAAAATACACTTGTCCTTCCTTCCTTCCTTCCTTCCTTCCTCCCTTCCTTCCTTCCTTTCTTCTTTCCTTCCTTCCCTGAATTCAAGTTCCTACAGTTGACAGATAGATAGACAGATGGGTAGATAGATGGATAGACAGATATAAAGCTAAAATAAATTCTAAGTATTTGATTAGAATTGGAAATACTAGCATAAACTTACTATTTCAGCATAGTATATAGTGGATGAGGCAAATGAATATTCAACAGGTCAATGAGAAATAGTATTTACACACATGCAGACATTGTAGTGGTCTGGCTTGGTCCATGGAGAACTGGAAGCATCAACACCACTGTTTTATTTCTAAGTATCATACTTAACAGAATGAAACTAGATTCCACAGAGAGATGACTGATTGTGGGAATGGGAAGGCATAGGTCCAATAAAGAATACCCTGAAATATATGCCTTACTGTGCAGAAAGTTAACATGAGGTCAAAGGTCTGGATAATTCAAGATTGTGGAGGAAGAAAATGCCAGAAACATAACACAATGACCAAAAATGGGCAATGGAACATCAAAACAAATAGCGAGGTGCCTAGCTACTCAGGAGGCTGAGATATGAGGATCGCAGTTCAAGGCTAGCCAGAGCAAGAACATGCATGAGACTCATACCTCCAATTAACCAACAGAAAACTAGAAGTGGCGCTGTGGCTCTAAGTGGTAGAGTGCTAGCCTTGGCAAAAGAGTTCAGAGACAGCATCCAGGCCCTGAGTTCAAGCCCCAGGACCAAACATATAGAGATAGAGATAGAGATAAAGATAGAGATAGAGATAGATAGAGATAGAGATATCTGTAATCTGTTGAATGAGATAACTAGTGAATCCATACTGATAAAAAATGGGTAAAAACACACATAGAGAAGCTTCTATCTGCAATGGAATATTAAGTGATGACTATAGAAGGATGATGGAAATAAAATTTTCCTCACTTGATGCACAGTAATAATTAACCTAGGCCAAGTCCAGATTCATTAGAAGGCAGAAAGCTCTATCTTCCCATGACTTATTGGTAAAGCCTTGGTATCACAGTTCCAAAAGCTCTGTTGTTGAGGAAATCCCACACATTCTTGCAATGCAGATTTCAACCCTGTACCGTGGATGCTGGATTCATTTTTCCCATAATGCCACTCAACTTCCACTAAAGATATGTAGCCTTTTAACAAATCTAAAATGTTCACTTTATCACCTAAATCTTGGGGCAACATTTGCTTTTTTTTGGGGGGGGGGGTCCGGTCGTGGGGCCTGAACTCTGGGCCTGGCCCCTGTCCCTCAGCTCTTCAGCTCAAGGCTAGCGCTCTACTACTTGAGCCACAGCGCCACTTCCAGCTTTTTTCTTATGTGGTGCTGAGGAATTGAACCCAGGGCCTCAGGCATGCAAGGCAAGCGCTCTACCACTGAGCCACCTTCCCAGCCCCACCATTTGCTTTTTGAGATTCATGGTTTCATAAAATTAAGGAAGGACAGAGAAACAGTCAGATAACACAATGACTTACACACAAATGATGATAATACAGGACTAAGAATTCCGTATCAACTGTAATATGGGCATGAGAATTTAAAAATTTGAAATTTCTTTCAATCTTTTTTTTTTTCCCTTGCCAGTCCTGGCGCTTGAACACAGGGCCTGGGCACTGTCCCTGAGCTTCTTTTGCTCAAGGCTAGTGCTCTACCACTTGAGCCATAGCACCACTTCCAGCTTTTCTCTTAATTTGGTACTGAGAAATCGAACTCAGTGCTTCATGCATGCTAAGCAAGCACTCTACCACTAAGCCACATTCCCAGCCCACTTTCAATCTTTAAGAATGTATTATTCATGTTCTCTTTATCATGCTTGGTCAAAGCTGTCTGTAATAGATCTACAAATAAAATAGGTTTACTGTGCTATTCTACTGCTCCCAAGGCCTTAGTATTGTGGGCCAGGAGATAGAAGTCTCAAGTACTTAATAGAAAGCCCTTAGCCAAATGAAAATCACATAGTTTCATGCATATACAGAATCTGTACATCATCATCATGATTATAAATGAGGCACAGTGACTCATTTGTAAATTTTTTTTGGCACATAGAGATCAGGGAAAGCCTAGTTCAAGGTGAGCACTTCATTTGGCTGGGTACAGTAACACACATCTGTCATCCCCATGGACATGAAGGGAGCACAAGCAGGATGATTGTAACTTAGCCCGCCTAAGAACTAAGAACCTACCTGAAAACAGCCAATTCCAAAAGGGGCTGGAGGCGTGGTTCAATTGGGAATGTGTCTGATAATCAAATGTGAAGCCTTGATTGAGTTCAACCCCTAGTACCACACACAACACACACACACACACACACACACACACACACACGGACTGTTTGTTGTTTAGAGGGGTAGCCAAAAGTAAGGAAAGGGAACAGAGAGTGTGATCATTGTTGAATATAATCGAAGTGCACACGCCCGGCCTGCAGATGCTGAGAAAGGATGATTTCAAGTTCAAAGCCAGCCTGGGCTACTGAGGAAGACCCTGTCTCACAAGATATAACACAAAAAATCTGTAAAAATGTGATCTTTGAGTATATTTTTAAGTACTTTAAAAATCTTTAGGCATTTTTTTCTTTCTACATTTTCATTTGATTCATAGGATAATAGGACCCTCAGAAAGTTAACATGTTCTATTCTGTTAAGTAATATAGTCAGAGGGTCCAGACTTTTGGTACAAGATTGAAAAAAAAAAAGAAAAACAGTAGTTTAAGATCTAAATGGTATCATTGGAGTCTTCTGAAATATATATGTATATACATATATATATATATATATTTTTTTTTTTTTTTTTTTTTGGTGGGCAGATTTCATTTTCTTCCATCATAGAAAAAAAAAAACTTACGGGGCCGGGCACCGGTGGCGCACGCCTATAATCCTAGCTACTCAGGAGGCTGAGATCTGAGGATCATGGTCCAAAGCCAGTCCAGGTAGAAAAGTCTGAGAGACTATTATCTCCAATTAACCACCAGAAAACCGGAAATGGTGCTGTGGCTTAAGCGATAGAGCACTTCCCTTGAGCTTAAGAGCGCAGGGACAGGACCCAAGCCCAGAGTTCAAGCCCCACGACTGAAGAAAGAAAGGAAGAAACAAAGGAAGGAAGGAAAGAAGGAAGGAAGGAAGGAAGGGAGGGAGCGAGAGAGAGAAAGGAAAGAAAGAAAGAAAGAAAGAAAGAAAGAAAGAAAGAAAGAAAGAAAGAAAGAAAGAAAGAAAGAAAGAAAGAAAGAAAGAAAGAAAGAAAGAAAGAAAGAGAAGGAAGAAAGAAAGAAAGAAAGAAAGAGCTTCCAGGTTGGGAGAAGAGATGGCGGGCATTACCAAATGAGCTCTGTCAGAAAAACCCTTAATCCAACTAGGGCCACGGGAGGGAAGAACAATGCGAGAAAGGGATGCTAAGCAGATAATGTTCTCCAAAGTGGAATAATAATAATCTACATATGAAAAAGCAGTTCCACAGTAATGGAGTCTTGTTTCAAGGTCTTACAGTGGATTGGTGAAAGAAGCCCATGTCTCCACACCTTACAAATGCCTTTGCTCTTTTTTTTTAATTTTTTAATTTTTTAATTTTTTGGGGGGTCCAGTCGTGGGGCCTGAACTCTGGGCCTGGGCGCTGTCCCCCAGCTCTTCAGCTCAAGGCTAGGCCCTACCACTTGAGCCGCAGCGCCACTTCCCCCTCTTTTCTTTTTGCTTATGTGATGCTGAGGAATCGAACCCAGGGTCTCATGCATGCAAGGCAAGCGCTCTACCACTGAGCCACTTCCCAGCCCCTGCCTTTGTCTTGCATACATAAAAACATCTTATTTCTTTTATATCTCTCTATGTCACTATTACAAAATAAAAGCCAGACTCCACAGGTGTTAACATTCTACTGCCATTCCTTTACATCTATTTATCTTCCTTCACAAGTATAACTTCACACTCAAAGAACTATAATTATACTCATCTTATTTATAACTCTGGTCTTATAAAATAATCTACTGGTTTTGTGTAGGTTTCATTTCATTTTGGTTTTGCTCCAACATATTATAAGCATATATGGGCATACATGTGTGTATGTGTCATACATGACAGGAGACTTAGGAACATTTTAAACCAAAATTTTAGGGTATGTTTAAAATTCTGTTCTTAAGAAAGAACACCAAATACGAATAAACATACAGTCATAAGTAACTATGCTTCTTACTCCAGCATATTCCTTATTCTTTATGATAGGTTTTTTTTGGAACAGGCTCCTCTTTATATAAGCAGGTAAATGATTTGGCAGAAAGGACTTAAGCAGATGCCAGCTGAGGTGGATTCTGATCTTGCCCTGTCAACTAGTCTTGAAACCAGCAACAAATTTAAGCTCTGAGACTCGTTTGCACAATGGGATGGTATGCATGGCTGATTTTAGTAGTTCGAAGTACTCAGTTATAAAATGGCACATAAATATTAGAATGACTACGTTTCTTGACATCTCATCTTCCTCTGATCTCAACAAATAGGCGCACCTGCCAGAAAGCAGAAAGGTTTCTTCCTCGTCTCCCACAGTTCCCTGAGGCTTGTGCTTAAGCTTTCTACTGTGGCTGGTTTATGTACCTGTGCCGGGCTGTCAGGAATTCACCCCTGCCGCTCCGGACAGCAGGGCCACCGGGCACGCAGCGCCCCCTCCTGGACAGTGGGCAGAGCCAGGCGGGAGCGGGGCTGAGGGTCCACGTGGACCCTCTGATGACCCAGAAACACCCCACATGGCTCTGGACTCGTATTTTCATGGGAACTTTGGGCGTGGCCGCGCGTGTAACACTCCCGCCGAGCTAGATCTCAGCAAACGGGCACCCGTCCCGACCCAAGCGGAAGGCGAGGGATGCTGTGCCCTGCGGGCGTGGCTACGGTTATGGGCGTGACTACCATCGTAGTTGTGACTGTATAGTGTGGGCGGGAACCCGGCCTGTGGGGCGGCTCTGTCCTGGGGAGGGCGTGGCCTCCCTCACTGTTACTCACCGCAGGATTGGTGGGGGTCCGCCTCGTGGGTGGGACTTCCTTCCGGTAGGCAGGTCTTCACTCCGCGTGAGGACGGAGCAGGGTGGGCGGGGCCGAGTTTGGGAGCGGAACTACGGCGTGCCCACGCTTGGCTCACCTCGGCCACTTCCGTGTGCGAGCCGATGAAGTCGCCTGGATCCAGAGTACTGCACGCGGGTACCGAAGGTCCGGAGAGGTTAGTGGGGTGTTGTGGCGGCCTATGGAAGGACTAGGCAGGCCATTGCGGTCGGGAAGGCTGCTTCCCTGGAGCTCGGCTTCCGGCCGCCCGGCCGGGCCGCGTCCTCCGGGCATCCCCAGGCGGGCTCCCTGGGCCGGCCTCATTTAAGTAAATCCTTTAGGCTTTTGTACATCCATGGTCACAGATAGCACAGGACTGGACATAATGCTCTAGGAAATAAAGACTGGTGTCAGCCAGGGGTGGTTAGTTTGCAACCTAATGCATCCTGGAGCTCTGATCTTGTCTACATGGTTTTAAATCTTGGCATGTGTTTGTTACTGTAAGTGTGACTCATGACAAGCTAACTTCTCTTTGCATCCGTTTTTAAATCTGTAAAATGGGAGTAATAGCCCAGTGTTGGTGAGGAGTAAATGAGTTATAACACGTCAACACAATGTTTGTACATAGACCAAAAATGTCATTTTAACTATTAGCATTTTAGAAATTGTTCCTCTGTGACTGAACAGATTTGAGAGACATTTCTAAGATAAAAATTATAGGCTTAGGGGCTGGGAAGATGGCTCAGTGATAGAGTGCTTGCCTTGCATGCATGAGGCCCTGGGTTCAATTCCCCAGCACCACATAAGCAAAAATTAAAAAAAAATTTTTAAAAATTATAGGCTTAATGTGTGTTTAGCCACAGAGCAAAGAAAACCAGATTTCAGGGCAATAAATAAACATTGTAAACATACAACGTCATTTGGGAAAGTAATTTGAAGGAAATAGGAAATGTATGTTCAAGAACTGGTTTTGATTTTTCAGGAGAGAATGGAATAAAAGAATGAGAAAGAAGTGGGACTGTTCCTAATGTATGATAGTAGTGTGCAGAGTAGCCAAGAGATGGTTAGTGAGCATTAATGTTGTCAGATGCTGTAAAGAAAAAGTTGTGTTGGTATTAATGAAGCCCATTGACATAGATGAATTGGGCTAGATGCTGGGGATGCAGAAGAGATTGACTTTAAAAACACATAGTTCATAAAAATTGGCACTAATTGAACTCTCTTTTCTAGACAATGGCCAAGAATAAATTAAGAGGGCAGAAGTCCAGGAATGTGTTTCACATAGCCAGCCAAAAGAACTTCAAGGCTAAAAGCAAAGCAAAACCAGTTACTACTAATCTTAAGAAGGTGAGCATTTATTGGAACCTCTCAGACTTTACTGTTCACAAGCAAAGCATTTGTGTAAAGTACCAGATGACAGTTCAATAGCTTTCTTAGACTATAGCAGTCATTTTTAAAATAGTGTGGAAAATAGTTATTTCTGAACACAAATATATTCAGGAATCTATTCACGGAACCAAGATATAGCCAACCATCCAGTACCACTAAAGTATTTTGTTTCTTAAAGTGCAAAATTTGCAAAGAAACTTTATGTTTGAAAATATTTGAGGGATTTCTTTAAGGTTAAGTAGCTCCTCATTAACAAAATGTTTTCAAGTTTAGGGCTGGGAAGGTGGCTCAGTGGTAGAGCGCTTGCCTTGCATGCCTGAGGCCCTGGGTTCGATTCCTCAGCACCACATAAGCAAAAAGAAAAAAGCCGAAGTGGCGCTGTGGCTCAAGTGGTAGAGCGCTAGCCTTGAGCTGAAGAGCTGAGGGAAGTGCCCAGGCCCAGAGTTCAGGCCCCATAACCAGACCCCCCCCCCCCCCCAAAAAAAAAAAATGTTTTCAAGTTTAAATAGTAGTAGTCAACTCTCTAGGACTCAGTAATTAGCAATATGATGTATACCTGTATACCCAGGACTTAAGGGTGGCTGAGGCAGGAGGATCTTGAGTTCAAGACCAGCCTGTATTACATACGGGGGGGGGGGGGGGGGGGGAGTGGCAGATGAGGGCACTGCCAGGCTTAAATCAGTTGTCAAGCAAGTTTGAACAAGGAAGAATAGCAAAAGTTGCAAAAATGCAGAGAAGTGATTAGTGTCAGTGAGGCTTAACAACTGTTAGTAAACAACGCCGACTCCTAGGTGAGGAAGTGGTGCAGTTATTCTGCAGGAGCTCATGGCTGAGGTAGGAAGGAAGTCACTGAACAATGAATGGACAAGCAGTCTGTTGTCTGTTGAGTCAGGGTCTGAGATTTTCCATGAAGCAGCAAATAATTGTGAACTTAGTAACAGCAATAAGGGCTCCCAGAATGTTATCACACATATACAGCAACACCACTCCCACCTTTTAGACACTAAAGAGGAGTACTGTGGGGAGCTTTTGAGGCAAGTGTTTCAGGGATGTATTGTCAGTAGGAAGGGACAAAAATTCATTGCCTAGAAAGACAGGCAACATTTTAACACTTTTTGGTTTTTGGTGTGAATTACCTCCACTTTGGTATGATTAACTTAGATTTTTTTTTTTAGGCTTAACAAGGATGTAAACATTTTATCTTCATTAGTGTGAGATGGTTGATTTGTGCCTTTTTGTTAACAGATAAACATTGTGAATGAAGAAAAAATTAACAGAATGAATAAAGCTTTTGTCAACATTCAGAAAGAACTTGCTCACTTCTCAAAAGGCCTTTCTCTAGAACCTCTTCAAAAAGAGTTGGTAAGTAGAAATGGTTTCCTCTCATTAGGCCCAGAACATCAAAGGATAATAAATTACATATTTCCCAGGGTTTCTAAGCCTCTGTTATCCCTGGCTTTGTGATTTATATTCACTTTTAAGACATTGAGAGTCTGAATATAAGAACTGACTCTTCTCTTTCCAAAAGTGTGACTATAAGAACTAAACTGGACAATAGATTACAAATTACTTTTGTTTACTATTTTGTGAGTTGTAGGTCTTGAACTCAGGGCCTGAGTGTTATCCTTGAGCTTTTTCACTCAAGGCTAGCTCTCTACCACTTTGAGCTATAGAGCCACTACTTTTGTTTCCTGTTAAACTATTAAATGTAACTTTCCTATCTTCAGATTCCTCAGCAGCATCCTGAAAACGAGCCAGTTAATGTTGATGAAGCTACGCGACTGATGGCGCAGCTGTAACAGTCCTCCCAAAAGATCAATAAAATAAATGTTTTATACAACTTTATTTTTAAAACATCTTGTTAATGTACAGGCATTGGCACATTTTTTAAAACAAACTACATAAACAGCTCTTTCCTAGGCTCTAGGAAAGTGGAATGTCAGAAGTCAACAAAATGTGATCAACTTAAAGTGCTAAAACAGAAGGCACTTCACAAAATCTGTTCACTGAAACAGTTACATCCTTCACCTTATAAATGGCAGTGAGTATCTGGACTGAAGGACATATCAAAATACAGCTTTGTGGCAGTGAAAATACAAAACAAGTTGATTAGCCCTTGGCCAACATTTTTTGCTTTTGATGACCTAAAAAGTCCACTTTAACTTTCCTCTATGAAGAATCCACACAAGGATTCAGAACTGGAAAAGCTGGAATCCAAATTATACAGGGAAGGTGAATACAAAGTTTATTTTCCCCTGAAGCAATAGAGCCCTTCGTTTTTATGAAGTTTTGTGAAGTTAAAAAAAAAAAGGAAGTATTAAAAAGAAGAACACTTGAGAATCAGTGAACTACAAGGTGTTACATTCATTATTTTAAATACTTAGGTTATTAAGAAGTCTAAAATGTTACAGTTAGAGGTAGATAACAGTCCCAAGTGGCCAGGGAATCTAATAATTTAGTATCTGGACATCAAACAGATCACATACACCTTCATTATCATCTAAATTAAAGTTGTAGTCATCAGCTGGAGTAGGAGAAAGCCGTAAGAGAGGAAACACTGCAAACAAAAACAGATTCAGTGTTAATAATTGTGTCTGCATTTGGATGATTGTTTCATCATAAAATATGACAGTCATTCAAATGGTTTCCTATGCTACACCTGGACTTAAAAAATACTTAAATGGGGCTGGGAAGGTGGCTCAGTGGTAGAGCACTTGCCTTGCATGCATGAGGTCCTGGGTTTGATTCCTTAGCACCACATAAGCAGAAAAAAAAAGCTGGAAGTGGTGCTATGTCTCAAGTGGTAGCGCACTAGCCTTGAGCTGAAGAGCTGAGAGACAGCACACAGGCCCAGAAATCAGGCCCCCACGACCGGACACCCCCCCCCCCCAAAAAAAAACATAAAAGTAATGATCAGGAATGATGTTCAGTGGTTTTTTTTTTGGGTCCGGTTGTGGGGCCTGAACTCTGAGCCTAGGCACTGTCCTTCAGCTCTTCAGCTCAAAGCTAGCGCTCTACCACTTGAGTCACAGCGCCACTTCCGGGTTTTTTCTTTTTGCTTATGTGGTGCTGAGGAATTGAACCCAGGGCCTCAGGCATGCAAGGCAAGCGCTCTACCACTGAGCCAACTTCCCAGCCCTAATGTTCAGTGTTGAACAATGTTGAGCTGTTCTCTGAGGACAGACAGTACACTCATAATTGGGATTAATTTGGAAAACACAGTAGTAAGTGTGTTTGTGTGTATACACACTAAGCACATACATGCTATGCCAGTCCTGACTTTTAACTCAGGACCTGGGTTCTGTTTCTTAATTTTTAATTTTTATTTATTTTTTTACATGAAGCTATGTTGTACTGCTTGAACAACAACTCTACTTGTGGCTTTTGGGTGGTTAATTGGAGATAAAAGTCTCATGTACTTTTCTGATGTGGCTGGCTTCAAACTGTGATCCTCAGAATTTTTGCCTCCAGGGTAGGTAGGAGGATTACAGGCATGAGACTGACTTTACACAAACATTTTTACTGGTTGTAAAATACATGATTTAAAACACTGGTAAAGGTTTCCTTGCCACTTAGCAAACAGAATTACTCAATAGATTACGCAAGTGAATTAATGCTCTACAGAAATGTTGAATAAATCTCTACATAAATCTACCATTGGCTAATAACTAGTACCACTTCCTAAGTCTGCTCTATTTGTTAGGAACAAAGACTCAACAATGAAGGCAGGAGAGATATGTATTCATTTGCACATTGTAGAGAATTGATTTAAAAAATTATTTTGTATTAGCATTGATGACATGGTTAAGGTTAGCTCAATGATTTCACACTGGCAGGCTGAAAATGGCTGACTATGGTGGCAATACTTATTTTTGTCTTTTGTCAGTCCTGAGCTTGAACTTGGCCTGGGCTCTGTCCCTAAGCCTCTCTGTGCTCAAAGCTAGCACTCTGCCACTTCCGGCTTTTTGTTTATGTGGTACTGAGGAATCGAACCCAAGGTTTCATGCATGCTAGGCAAGCACTCTACCACTGAGCCACATTCCCAGCCTGTGGTGGGATTTTCAGATAACCTGATGATGATGTACTATTGTCAGTCTTGGTCAGTCTTCAGGAGAGGAAAGTATAGGTCACAGTAAAAGCAGTTACAAAATATACATTCTGTATAGCTTAAGTGGCATTCATAAATTCTAGGCAGTTACCTCAAATAATAGGAAAAGGTTAAACTACTTACCATCAGAAGACATTAACTCATCAATGATATCTCCACTAATAGACCCTGCTAGAAAGAAATGTGATAAGGTTTTGTTACATTTCTGTTTTTGTATTTTAACAGTAAAAAGCAATGATTACTATTTAAATGTGACTGCTATGTCACATAATAGTCTTTTTCCAAATACCTAGTATCTGGCATTTCAAACTTGAAAACTGAAGATGCAGAATAAAATTCTTCCAAAATTGACTCTCCGTTTTACAAAGCCTGGAGTATCTCAAATTCACTCAGCTTTAAAACCTCACCACCACTTTCTATTCCTTCTGTTCATTTCATCAACAGATCTCACATAGCACGTGGTACTTCCTTTGTATAAATAACATTCCCCCCTCACTCTTTCCCATCTCACTGGAATCATCCTGTTCTGTCTAGCCTTAAAAGTTCTCATCGCATGTTTGCAGTTGTGCAAACATGTAATATTTAACTTCCCTGGCTTGTGATGATCTCTTTTGATTCTGTAAGAATATTCTTTCCTTTTCATATTTCCTGTGCTTTGTGTACAGCTCTAATTGTACTACTTCCTGGCCACAGACTTACCTTGATTCCCATTAATTTGATTTAAAGGCTTTCTCTAAAATGGTTCAGTGACTCTGCTTGATTAGCATATGAGCTTTTTTTTAATGCTCTGGAAGTCCATGGAGTAACTGTCTGAGCTAAAGCATATAAAGTGTGCTTGTTTTATTCATCCCAATTAGGTTATAAAGCTTTATAGGGACTCCCCCTGTAATGTATAGTACTCCTTTTCGCCACCAATATAGCAATTCTTACTGTGGAAGGAAAGGAAGATATGTGTACAAGAACCTAAACAAGACTCTATGTACAACTCTTCCCAGAGTGAGAGCAGTGCAGTACCCACCCCCTCCAGAGGTAAAAGTGGATTATGTACAGTGCAGTTTTCAGTCATCTTCAACATGACATCTGTGTTGGTACAAATAATTCACATATCTAGAAGTAATGTTTTTCTTAAAAGTTGATAAAGCCAAGCCGGGCGCTGGTGGCTCACGCCTGTAATCCTAGCTACTCAGGAGGCTGAGATCTGAGGATCGCGGTTCAAAGCCAGCCCGGGCAGGAGAGAACGTGAGACTCCTATCTCTAATAAACCACCAGAAAACCGGAAGTGGCGCTGTAGCTCAAGTGGTAGAGCGCTCGCCTTGAGCTGAAGAGCTGAGGGACAGCGCCCAGGCCCAGAGTTCAAGTCCCACGACCGACAAAAAAAAAAAAAAAAAAAAAGTTGATAAAGCCAGATGCTGGTGGCTCCTGCCTGTAATCCTAGCAACTCAGATCTGAGGATCGTGATTTAAAGTCAGCCCCGGGGACGGTAGCTCAGCAGTAGAGTACATGCCTTGCAAGCATGAGGCCCTGGGTTCGATTCTTCAGCACCACATAAACAGAAAAAGCCGGAAGTGGTGCTGTGGCTCCAGTGGTAGAGCGCTAGCCTTGAGCTGAAGAGCTGAGGGACAGTGCCCAGACCCAGAGTTTAGGCCCCATGACCGACAAAAAAATAAAAAATAAATAAAAATAAATAAAGTCAGCCCCGGCAGGCAAGTCTAGAAGATTCTAAACTCCAAATAACCAACAAAACCAGAAGTGACACTGTGGTTCAAACTAGTAGAGTGCTAGCCTTAAGCAAAAAGCTCAGGGACAGCACCCAGGCACTGAGTTCAAGCCTCATAACAGACAAAAAAAAAAAAAAAAAAATTGTTAAAAACTAAGTAAGACTGGGCTCCATGGAAACTTAAAAAAAAAAAAAAAAAAAAAAAAGATAAATCTGAGTTAAGGTGCCCACCTCCTAAGGCCCTATTTTTATTGTTCTAGCTATTTATCATTTTATAAGTGAAACAATGTACAAAAGATCTCCTAAACAATATAAATGCATTAAAACTAAGCCTCCCAAATATTAACAGAATATTGAGAAACAAAGGCAGAAGTCACTGTTCTATACTAACTGTTCTATACTAGCTTGTTTTTTGTTAAAGGTCATCAGAACATATTGTAATTTATCTCAGAGGTAAAAAAGAACTTTACAAAACAAACTTCAAATAGAGTTAAAAAAAGAAATGGCCAGGCATGCCCATAATACCAGCACGCAGGAGACCAAGGCAGAAGAGTTCTGAGATGGAGGCTAGCTTGAGCTGCAGAAGACAAGGGCACTGGTGGCTAACGCCTTTAATCCTAACTTCTCAAGAGGCTGAGATCTGAGGATCATGGTTCAAAGCCAGCCTGGGCAGGAAAATCCGTGAGACTCTTCAACAGACCACTAGAAAACTGGAAGTGGTGCTGTGACTCAAGCAGTGGAGTGCTCACCTTAAGCTGAAGAGCACAGGGACAGTGGCACCCAAGCCAAGTTCAAGCCCACGACCAACAGAAAAAAAAGAGAGCAAACTGGCCCCAAAAGAAATACCTTTTTCTAGGTATAGTGTATTCTGTTTGTTGATCCCAACCAAAATCAGAAGGATCATAGTTAGAGGCCGGACCAGACAAGAAGTCAGCAAGGCTGTCTATTCTCAACATCAGGCAAGGTGTTACACTTCTATAATTCCTGCTAAGTCAAAGGCATAGGAGAATTGGTGTGAGG